TTGTTAATTTTAACGTACATTTAAATAGCTTTAATTTGATATAAGTTTTGGTATGTCAGACATCCCTGATTTTCCAAAATTGAAAGTAAAGTAATTTTTTTTACTTAGATAGTTGATTTCATATAGTAGAACAATCATCGGAACTTTTTTATTTATAGTTCACTTCAAAAACTTTAATATGATATAGGTTAAAAGTTGTCAGACATTGCAAAATATTTTTAAAAATTGATTTGAAAAAAGTTTTTTCTATGCTGGGAGGTCTATTCAAATCCTTCCTGTACTTAGGTTTTTATTTTCGTTTACATAAAAAGGATACCAAAAGAAATATTATTGTCTCTAGTTTATATTATAAACATTTCTTTTAGAAATTTTAAAATTTAGAAAAAGATATCTGAATTTGTCATTCTTGACAATTTCTTAATTTCGAAATATTTATCTCAATATTTAAAATTAAATTTTTTTTTCTTCATTTTTTGGTTCAACTACATTGAATTTAGGTTCTTTTGTAGCATAGATCAATAAAATTGGTCAATTGAAAGTTGAGAATTTTCATGTTAAGACACAAAAATCACCAATATCTTCTCAGTTTCGCATCAAAAATAAAAATTCATTTAATTTTTAAAATGTCTAAAGAATCTAACAACATCTTAAAATGAACACAAATAGCTGTATTTAAATGTTCAAATAAATATTAAAATATGCATTATCTTTTAACTTACTATAATTTAGTAACTGTCAGAAAGGAGAAGTTAAAATAACCTTTGCTATAGCAATCTAATAATTCTTAATTAGTGTTATTTGCTTGCGGTTTTAAGTTTTAACTTTTGATATTAAGATTATCCCCCTTCATCTTGCAGAAATCTCTAATTTAATTGTAATGAAGAAGAAACGCGCTTTCTGTCGAGGCTATAGAATTTTTGTGACTCATAATATTTAAACAAATACATTGTATACTTTTTTACCCGTTTGCTTCAATGATTTATATGCTTGTAACCGCTACACAGAAAGGATGAGATCGAGGAATATTTAAATGTTTTAATATTAAAACTGTCGGTTGCCACATTTACTCTCTCGGCATTTCGGTGCACACTTGGAGAGAGCAATTACTTTGGTTGGCAAATGGCTGCAGTAGCATAAGGCAAAACGCAAGTAGCTTTTCAATGATGGAAGTGAAAACAGAAAGTTCGTTTCTAGATGATTTATATACGCCAAAGATTGTAATAATAATTATTAGCACAGCAAAAGGCTTGTTTCATGCGCTGCCGTTGCTTTTGTTATGGTCGTTTATCTTAACTAACGTACTAAAAAAAAAAATACTGCTGAATATTATTTCTAATAAAATCTAACAAAAATAGAACTTAATTTATCAATTAGGAAAATTCTGATTAAATTAAAATCCAAATATAGTCGTTACACTTCGAAGTCACATCAGAGATATCCAAAGAATTTCAATTTTCTGATATTATTTAAATATATATATATATATATTATATTCAAATTTAGACCTCAATTTTGTGTGTGTTTTAGTCTATGATATCGATGGTTTAATACAAAAAAATTTGTATTTTACCTTTTTTCAAGAGTACAGTTTGAAATTTTTTTTATTATTTCTTTTACATTATAACTTTTTTAATAAAGTTAGCGATTAAATTATTGTTATTATATATAGTTTTTACTTCTCAAATTTATACTGAATACATTTTTTTTTTATATTTAATAATATAATATAGTGTAGTTAACATTCACGATTAACTCAATTTCGTTAAAAAAACACTGGAATCTTTATTGCACTAAACTTTAACTAAACTCTTAAATAAAAATATCAGCTTTTTATTTTTTTGAAACGATAAATATTTACTAAACATTGTTTCTTTTAATTATACTGAATTAAAATAATAATAAGAATGATAGAATCATTTATTTTCATTATATCTCCTTAGAATGTGTTTAGTTAGTAAAAATTATTTTTTAAGTTATTAAAAAAACTCATCAATATTAAAAGTAAAAATAGCTATACAATTGTTCTTCAATTCGATACAAGTTGTACTATTGTATATATACATACAATAGTTGTAAAATTACTGTTGTTGAATTTGTCCGTTTTTCTACTGACCGGAATGATGAAACACAAAAGGAATATTGTATGAAAACTCTTTGAATTTGGAAATAATAGAAAAGAAAATAACATTTTATTTTAGAAATAAATTAAGATCGGAAGTATGAAAAAACTCAGTGTATTTACGTTAAGAATTCATATTTAAAATTTTAATATTCAGATAATTTTATTGAATCCGATAACGTAAAAATGAATATTATTTAAAAAAAATATATTTTGGTATTTATAATTCTTATAATCATAAAATAACTAGCATCATGCGTATAAACTGATTTTAAAAAGTATCTCCCAGTTGGAGATGTAAAAAATGGAATTTTTCAAATTTTATTTAGAAAAAGACACCAATCCACCAACCCAACCATTTTTTTTTACGTTTCTAATCTTAATAATATAAAATATAAATTATTTAAATATGTAATAATTTAATCAATATTTTTTTAACCTCAAAAAGACTTATTTTTAGACTATATCTTAAAAAAAATTCGATAGGTCGATAATAACTGTATGATAAGTACTTATAAATTTCTATACATATGAAGCACACATAGAGTACACAAATACTAAAACAAGCTATGTCCACTCTGTAACAATATTTGGGAATTATTCATCACCTTAACAGTTTTTACAGGCCTTTGAAATAGATGCCCATTTTACAAAAAAAATAATGAAGATTCTACTGTAATTATTTTTGGATTAATATTATTAAATTAATATTAAATAGTGATCCTTTAAAATTTGAAAAATAAAATTAACAGCCTTAATTTTATTATAAATATGGTTCATTTAAACATTATGCATTTAAATGTATTTTTAATTTTATGCATTCCTAGAGCTTCTTCAATTTTATGTTTATTTTAATATTATGTTTATTTTATTTCTTATTTTAATTTCTATGGCTTCTTAAATTAGATGGATTTGTATGTTTTTTTAAATTATGTGCATTTTTATGGCTTTTTAAATTAGATGAATTTTTATGGTTTCTTAAATTGTGTTTTTCTATGGCTTCTTAAATTTTATGTATTTCTATAATTTTTTTAAATTTTATGTATGGTTATGGCTTCTTTTATCTTATCAATTAAAAAATATGATTAAAATTTAATTAAAAATTTTTATTTTAATTAATTTACTATAAAATGATTTTCTGTTTAAAATATTGACTAGATATTTGACACATGCTATTATTTTGTACTTCTTTTCTAAGTTAGAAATCTAAACCCTATTTTTCCTATTTTATGAAGTTATATATTAGTGGAATAATTTTTTATGAAATGTTGGATGTTTTGATAAATTAAATTAATTAACCATTTTTTTTATTTTAATCTATTAATAATAATAATAATATTAATCCATTAATATAACATTAAATAATATTAATTTAATGTTTAACTTTACAAGTCAAAAATTATCTTTTCTTTTATAATTTATAAGTTGATAAAAATATTTTAATGTTTACAAGTAAAATTTTCTCTGTAAGGCAAACTTCTAAAAATTTATTAGGTTCTTGTTACTATTTACATTACATTTATTATGTATATTTTTTAAAAATCCTAAATGGTATATGATTTAATTATTCAATCAATGATTAATAGTAAATAACAATCTTTCAAACTGCAAATGATATACTATACCACACAGAAGAAGGTTTGTAAAAATAATGGCCTACTAACTTATTTTGCTATAAACACTATAAATACTAATGTCGTCACTAGCTTAACACCTGAGTTTAGTTGTAAATAAGCACGTTATGGTGATGATGAAAAATAATAAAAAAAGATTTGACCTGAAATTTTATTAATTTTAACACCACTAAATTCTAATGACTGAATGTGATATACAAAATAACACATTTATTTTGATTATGTACACATGTGTTGATTGTGTGTATATAACTTGTACTTATGATCAATATACAAAAAATTTCTTATTAATGTCAAAAAAATTGGACTAAATAAACCAAATAAATTCAAATTTAGATAAAAATAATTTTTTTCATGAACGCAAAGCGTCAATTTACACAAAAATATTTAAAAACTGAGGACTTGTTGCCCTTCCTTATAAAAGACCTTCAATCGAATTTTGAAATCTTTCAATCGTATTAATTTTATTACAATGAAAATATATTTTACTATTTTAATATCTCTTTAAAATACATTTGTTATAAAGTTTAAGAAACTTGCGACTGTATATTATTATAACGAGTTCCGGTTACAGTATAAAATTAGATTAGACTAAGACAGGATTACAACCATGTAGAGTATTTAACTTAATTGTTGCATTATTACTGAGTAACTTTTGTTTTAATACTAAGCATTAAGTTACAATATTATCATAACGAAAAGTTTGAACTTTTAAATTTTAATAATAAATTTAGTCTCAACAAGTGTAGGTAGTAATACAAACGCTGAAAACTGAAATGAAAACACAATTCGGTATAATAATAACGAAATGGGTTAGCATAAAAATAATCATAAACACAAAAATACTTTATCATATATATAAATATATATTTAAAAAATGTATTGAAGGATAATTGCCACATAGTAAATTAAAAAAATCATTTAAAGTCTTATAATAATAACAACAACATAATTAACGATCATAACACGTTCATCAATTGCAGTAATTCCAACTATTATAGGATATTTGAAAAAAAAAACCGTAAGTATCAAAATTTACAACTAAATGTAAATTTTATTACATTCGACCATTGATGTAGTATATTTTATAGCATATACATCAGTAAAATAAATTAAGCCATAATCAAACAATGTTACACACATAAAATAAACAAAAAATAAGACATAAATAGACAATTTCTATTCTAAAAAACATGAAATTAAAATATTTCAAATATAGAAACATTTAGAGTAGCGTAGTAAATATACATTAGAATAAAAATAATGTACTATAAAAAAATGCTCTTCAAGGTATAATTGATTGTAAAAATACGTATTATAAAATTCAAATAAAATTAACAAAAAAATAAATAAATAGCAATAATTAAGAAATAATATTCTTAGTGAGAAAAACAATTAAAATTAGTCTCACTGTATGAACTCAACGATTAAACCTTTTTTATACAACTCCGATGTTGAAATTTTTATAGGTAAATATCATTTCCGCTGCTGTTGTTGTTGCTGTGTTTGCTGTTCATTATTTGTTAAGTTGTCTAACTCGGGTAACCGTTCTTCGACCATTTGGTCTACTCTAATGTCATTAAGTAAGGTCTGAACTTTTATCTTTATAGGTTCTTCCAATGCGTCAACGATGATGTGTCTTAACAACGGCGGTAACGAGTTGACAGCTATTTCAACCACATAATCTAATGGTACCTGTCGGTCCATTAAGATGTTTATATTTCCAACCTCAATGTCAAGTTTGTGCAGTATCGGCTTCTCGCGGATGTCCAACGATTGATTTACTACAGCTCGGACCTGTAAATGATCTATGGTAAAGTTGGTCATACCCGTCCGATTAAAGTTCTTTGTTAGGACTAGCTCGTATGCCCAATTTAAAGACCCATGTATTTTACTCGTGATAACATGTGCCGTCAACTGTAACACGTGACCACGAAGACTCACGCCAATTTCACCAACTCTTCGGAATTTGGACAGTCCATAAACTGTAAGATTGCTTATGGTAAATGAAAACGGACCTTCTTTGATTTTACGATCCGTCAACCGGTACGGGTCGTAGCCCATTCGCATCACATATTTGCGACCTTCGATCACAGCCATATCCGTGACCGGCATTTTCATTTTAGGCAATTTACTGGTTATAGTTTTGATTTGATTGTTGATGTCAGCTCTCATGTTTGTGTTCACTTCGTTGATAATGAATGGTTTTATACCGTCAAATAACACTGAACCAACTGTACTAATCATACCTTGAAATACGGATGCCATAAAGCCTAAGTTCTTAAAGTCCAAGTTACAATCAGCAAACTGCATATCCATTTCTGTTTCATTGGTTTGCAGGTAACCATCAGCATCGGGTTCAAGTGCGGCTGCTGCTTCAGCGTCTACATCAATCAACGTCACATTGAATGGTCCAGCTGCTGGTCGACTGAACCATGTTTTCATTGTGTAATTGCCCAAAATATACAGTCTTCGAATTTTTAAAAGTACGTACACCTAAAACAAAAAAAATAAGAATTGAGGATCTAATACTCGACATTTTTATTTTAAAATAATAGATGTTCTAGTATAGTATATGAGACGTCTAGATCTGAAGGCATAATAATAACAATAATAAATTCAATTGATTAACATTTAGATTAAGAATAAACATTTAGTTATTTATAGTTTGATGCAAAACTTTTCAAAAAAAATTTTTAAATAATTTGGTTTAAACTGGTGTACAAATAATTTTCTTCAGAGACAAAAATATACTTTTTATAAACCAATTTTTGTGCTGATTTCAAATCTACTATTAAATTCTACAACATATCAGCGTACAAAATCATAGACCTAAATCTAGGTCCGAAATATATCTGAATATTAGTATATTATTAAATACTACAGGAAATAACTATACTGAATATAGTTCTCAATATTATAACTATTGAATCTATTTAAACACTAATAGTTATGTAGAATTTATTACTATAATTTTTATTAAAATTATTTATTTCGATATTATTACAAAAAAGTTATAACTAATAAAAATAAAAAAAACCCAACTCAACCAAACCCAGCACAGGGGGGTCAGGGCACAGTGGTGCCGTGGTATAGTTGGATCAAGTATAATGATATCTGACAGTGATTAAAATCACTATCAAAAATAAACGCTTCGATGCAAATCTTTAGATAGTGTTTAATTTTTAAAAAATTGGTGTTTTATTCCAAAAGCTTCTTGATCTGATGGTTCCTTATTAATATCTCGATTAAGACAAAGTATTTCGAATGAAAAAGGGTTTATTAAAAAATATTATTTCTCATAAAAAAAATTGTGTGGATCCATACACTTTTCAATAAGTTATAGCATTATAAAGTTAAATATAATATAAAAAATAAAATCGAAAATTTTCACACAAAAATAGCATTCGGTAGCCGTTTTCACCATGAAGACAAGTCCAGAGGTCAAATTTTTTTTTTTCAAATTAAAGTATATTACATTAGCTTTAATTTAAGATATATATAAAAGTGTCAGACCTTCCGGAACATTTTCAAAAGTTAAGTTGAAAAAGTTAATTTTTTGTAAAAAAATTGTCATTTTAAATCCCCCCCTGTGGGCAGAAAAAAGGTGGAATTTACAAAAAAAATATACCAACTGATAAGTAAAGACATCAAGCATCTATATAAAAAAAAATTATATTGATATGTTCATTTTTGAAAAAGTTAGAGCATTATTAAATTAAAAATATAAAAAAAAATTATTTTACAAAAATCGTAATTTTTTATTAACTTTGATGTCAACTTTCACCACGAAGACAAGTCCAGAGGTCAAATTTTTTTTTTTCAAATTAAAGTATATTACATAAGCTTTAATTTAAGATATATATAAAAGTGTCAGACCTTCCGGAACACTTTCAAAAGTTAAGTTGAAAAAGTTCTACTTTCTATATGCATTTTTTATATTTGAAGCCCCCCCATATATAGGGAAATAGTCTGATTTAAAAAAAAAGTATATCCAATGAAAGATGTATATAAATACTACTTCTCATGCAAAAATTGTAATGATCCATACATTTTTTAAAAAGTTATAGCACTTTAAAGTAAAAAATGTAAATTATAAAATCGAAAACTTTCACACAATAATAGCATTCGATAGCCGTTTTCACCATAAAGACAAGTCCAGAGGTCAAATTTTTTTTTTTCAAATTAAAGTATATTACATTAGCTTTAATTTAAGATATATATAAAAGTGTCAGACCTTCCGGAACATTTTCAAAAGTTAAGTTGAAAAAGTTAATTTTTTGTGAAAAAGTTGTCTTTTTAAATCCCCCCCTGTGGGCAGATAAAGGGTCAAATTTACAAAAAAAATATATCAAATGATAGGTAAAGACATCAAGCATCTATATAAAAAAAAATTATATTGATACGTTCATTTTTAAAAAGTTACGGCACATTTTAGTAAAAAAAATTGAAAAAATTTCGAAAATTAGCGATTTTTAAATATGTAATTTTTTTGGAGGTTTCCCCCATTTACGGGGAACGAGGGAAATTTTTTCAATTTTGAAGGGTAATGTCTTCGACTAGATACAATTTGTGATCTTTTGACGTATCGTTGAAAGAAATCCGTTCGGTGAGAGCTGAGAAAAAGTGGTAACAGACACAAAAAAAAAAAAAAAAAAAAAAAAAAAAAAAAAACACATCATAGTAAAACCAATACCTTCTCAGTTTCGCATCGAAGCTAAAACAACTTGAAAAAATTAATTTTTGTTTTTTTGACGTATCATCGAGAAAAATCGGTCCAGTGAGAGCTGAAAAATTTTTTCTTTTCAATTTTTAATGATGAAAAACCTAAATTCTGTAAATCTACATTAAACTAAAACTACACGCAAAGACATTACGGTTAGGTTAATCATATAAACGGTTAATGAAGTGACAACTGTCTTAAATGTAGTTGTCACTATATTATCCGTTCATTTTTTAATGAATAATATAAGTAATATAACGTACTTTGAGATGATAAAAAAAGAATTATCTGAAAACTTAATTTCTAGGAGTTATCAAATATTAATACTAAAAATCATACAATTTTTGTTAAAAATAGCCAATTTTGTAACTCTTTGTGTAGTAATAGAATATATACATCGTTAAAAACCAAATAAAATTAGAGCTTATTTAATGTAATATACGATAAAAAAAATGAAAAACGTTCCGACGAATTGTCTTTTATTTCTTATCGGATTTTAAAATCGAAAATCGTGTAATAATTATTTTATTTATTTCGAGTACGCATTGAAACATTTTACGACAGTGATTTTAATCACTGTCAGATATCATCAATACTAATCTAAAAAATGGTTCTACTCCGCTTTTCTAAATCCCTAGTTTTTAATGTTTTAGCCTCCAAAAATAATATGTTAAAATAAACCACAATAAAATTGATTCGTAATTTTTTTGCACTCAGTAAAAAACATCTTTAAAAATTATAAAAAAATGTCAAAACCAAATTCATCATATTTTTTATATATGCCAAAGGATTATAATAGCAGATCAATGAAAAAAAAAATCCCTTCTTGAAAATTATAAAATAGCTTATGAATTATATTCTCACCTGCATATTATCTAGATCTGTATTAACTCGTTCTACTGTAAATTTGGATAATCCGTGTATTGTCATATTAGTAAACGTCATATCGGCCATTCCAAAGTTCTTCCTCATCGGTGGTATGGAAAGTGATTCCGGTATTGGTGCTCCAGGAAATCCAATCGGATCAGGTCTTTGGTAATGTAACAGGACTTTTCGAATTTGTTCACTTAATTTTTCTTTGACCATATTAGACGACACATTTACATTGGTATCATCTGCTTTGGTAGCGGTAATCACAATATCGGTTTGATCAGACGACGGTGGCGTACTAACGACAACTTCTTCTTCAGTCTGCACCTCCTTTAGGTTAACGAGGACTTCAGCGCGTGGAGTTGATGTTGTTTCCTCGGTTTTATTTATTACTGTCTCGAGAAAATCAAAAATTGAAATAGGTGTTGTTAAAATTGTTTCTTTTCCAGTCTCGTCAGTAACTACTACGGGTATTTTTGTGGTAGTCTCGGAAAAAACTGTAACAGGTACTTCAGAAGTAGTTTCGGCAGGACTTGTTACAGGCACTTCAGAAGTAGTTTCGGCAGGACTTGTTACAGGCACTTCAGAAGTAGTTTCGGCAGGACTTGTTACAGGCACTTCAGAAGTAGTTTCGGCAGGACTTGTTACAGGCACTTCAGAAGTAGTTTCGGCAGGACTTGTTACAGGCACTTCAGAAGTAGTTTCGGCAGGACTTGTTACAGGCACTTCAGAAGTAGTTTCGGCAGGACTTGTTACAGGCACTTCAGAAGTAGTTTCGGCAGGACTTGTTACAGGCACTTCAGAAGTAGTTTCGGCAGGACTTGTTACAGGCACTTCAGAAGTAGTTTCGGCAGGACTTGTTACAGGCACTTCAGAAGTAGTTTCGGCAGGACTTGTTACAGGCACTTCAGAAGTAGTTTCGGCAGGACTTGTTACAGGCACTTCAGAAGTAGTTTCGGCAGGACTTGTTACAGGCACTTCAGAAGTAGTTTCGGCAGGACTTGTTACAGGCACTTCAGAAGTAGTTTCGGCAGGACTTGTTACAGGCACTTCAGAAGTAGTTTCGGCAGGACTTGTTACAGGCACTTCAGAAGTAGTTTCGGCAGGACTTGTTACAGGCACTTCAGAAGTAGTTTCGGCAGGACTTGTTACAGGCACTTCAGAAGTAGTTTCGGCAGGACTTGTTACAGGCACTTCAGAAGTAGTTTCGGCAGGACTTGTTACAGGCACTTCAGAAGTAGTTTCGGCAGGACTTGTTACAGGCACTTCAGAAGTAGTTTCGGCAGGACTTGTTACAGGCACTTCAGAAGTAGTTTCGGCAGGACTTGTTACAGGCACTTCAGAAGTAGTTTCGGCAGGACTTGTTACAGGCACTTCAGAAGTAGTTTCGGCAGGACTTGTTACAGGCACTTCAGAAGTAGTTTCGGCAGGACTTGTTACAGGCACTTCAGAAGTAGTTTCGGCAGGACTTGTTACAGGCACTTCAGAAGTAGTTTCGGCAGGACTTGTTACAGGAACATCAGTAGTACATTCGGTAGAATTTATTTCAGTTATTTTAGTGGTAGTGTCGACAGAAATTGTTGCCGGCACTTCAGTAGTAGGAACAGATGAAATATCTGGCGTTTCATCGTCTGCTGCTATTGGAGAAGCTCCTGTAAATTATCATAATTTTAATCAACAAATATATTTTTAATATTTAGACAATTTTTTTAAATATCCATTTTATGAATAATAATTTTCTTAAAATCTTAACGAACCAATAAACTAAGAGGCCTTAAACAAAAAAAGAGTTAATGTTTCTCTTAACATAAAAAATAATCCAATATGTTGGTCTTATATAAAATACTTTCTCCTTATCATTTTTAAAATTATTGAATATATATATTAAGAATAAGACAATTTTTTGATATTTGAAACTCAAATTCTAACAACCCTCTAAAAAAATATTGCAAACATTTAATACCACTTGATTCAACTATAAATCAACATATTTTACTCCTAATTAAATAATACTAAATAAAATAATTGCTTATTATTTCTCTTTCATTATAATACCCTAAGATTATATATGCATTGAAAATAATTTTTGACATCAAATGTGCTATGATACACTTGAACGAAAAGTTTATAAAAAATATCAAAATTTATATTTTTATTTTATAATAATAATTATTATTATTATTTTATCAGTAAAAATTTACATTTTTTTTAAATTTCCAAGTGAAAAATTATTTGTTAAGTTGTTAATAACGTCATTTGTTTTTATAAAGATACAGGTCAAGGACAAAAAAACTTCTACTGACCTAAAATCCATCCAAAACAGCTCATACTTTATCGTTGGTATAACAAACTTATAATTTATATAAATTTATTTTACCCTATTGAATCAGATTGAACACATTTTTTTGCTAATTTATGATAATTTTCTATTAAATTCTAAGTTAATAGGCTTTTTTTTTTTCATAGTATTGACTATACAAAAGCTGAATAATAGAGCTAAACCAATTTTAGCGCAACAAAACTCCTTATTTTTTTGTTTGCACTAAACATTTTTCAACCATATGATATTTAACCAATTAGTCATTTAAAATCATAATTTATTAATCCTTTTGTAGTATGAATCCTATCTGTCTTTTTATTAAACATAAAAATTTTAAGTATTAAAAATAAAGTCAATAAGAAAGAAAAAATGATAAGCAATACATTAACTGTTTCTCTTAAATGATAATGTATGACATGATTAAACCGAAAAATTAACATAGATAGGCTTTGTGTTTTGACTTATCAAAGAAGAAATCACAAGATTGAGTAACTTTAAAACATCTTGTTATAATATATATCAATATTATAATGTTATGTTAAATAAATTTAATTGAAACAAGCATTAGTCATAAAAATAGCCGTCTATTCCACAAAAGGCCATAAAAATTCACCAACTTTAATGTAAGACATTATTATTTAATAAACGTGTAGTAAAGTTTCCAGTTAAGTTAAAACCACAAAAAAATATTGTGTTATTATTTCCTTTCTCTAGAATGCAAATATTATTATTGAAATTAATTTAAGTAGTATTCAGTATTAATAATAGTCATAATGTAATATTATTAAAAATAAAATCTCAATAAATTTAAAAAAAAATCAACTAGACTAAAAATACAAATCAATACTATATTTTTAGATGCCCTTATTTATATATTACAAGGAAGTACACAAAATTATCGTTGTTATTCAATATTTATGATTATAAATAAATAAACCATTCAAAAACTTAAAAAAAATGCAGCTCACAATTTTTTTATTTTATAAAAAAAGTGAATCAATTTTAGTACAGGTATAAGATTAAATTTATTCGAATAAAAATGTTTATTCCTACATTATAATGTTCTAAACGATAATTTTTTATTACACGAATAAATCAAACATTAAATGCTCTAGTTAGAATTTAAACCCTATAAATATCTAATGTAAAAAAAATATTTTATTATTCAATAAATATTTATCTTATTAAAATTTAAATTGTCCATTCCTAGAAATTCGATTTATGAAAACATATATGTAAACGATACATAATTAAGGAATAATTGGAAATTTAATTATATTATGTTATTAGATCAATAATTCAAATACGTAAGATTTGACCACCACGACTGTTATCATTGATATCTATCAATATGTCCATTTAAAAAACGAAGAAAGATTTAATTTTTTGTCAATTTGTCTTTTAAATAAAAAACGGCGTAACTGAAATTTATAATTACCAGTTAATCGTGAGGCTAGCAAAGCACAACTCACGAGCAACGCTAAAATCTTCATGAGGTTCCACGTTTTTTACACTTGATTAAGGACTTTTATACTCAAATGTAACAAATACTACACTAATGAAATTAAAACGGTGAAACAGCACTGAGAACTGACACACTGAAACTCTGCTAGGTATACTATTGCTGATGCTTTTGATTAGGAACTCTTAAATGCCCTTTAACCTCACATTACATAAATACGATATAAAGGTATCAGCCTAATAATTTATATTACGAGCCTTGTCTCTCATTCAACTATCGTTTGCTAGCAACAATAAAACTACATGGGTACCACTACAATCTCAGTTCGTACAGTTGATGTTGATTATGAATAACGTTGTTGAGTTGTATGCGACAATACTCAAATTCATAGTAAACTTTATTATTAGTTTTAGTAAGTTAAAATATATCATAACTATTTTAAACAGTATTTTATATTTATAAATCTATGGTAAACTCTTATGCTGACTTTTTACCGACATCTTATTTTTAGTGGATAACATTATTTCATAATTGGTTTTTTTCATATCACAATTTCTTTCCGTTAATTAGAAAATTTTCCGACAATAGTTAGTCATACTAAATAATAAACATGTTGCTATATTTACAAAAAAACAAGTTGTATTATGGATTTTATAAGTAAAGTGTATATATTGTTAATAAAAAAACCGTAAAAATAATAAATCAAAACCGCACTGAGTTGTAATCGGACCACTGTGTAGGAAAAATTTGGCACTCATCGCTATGTTTACTATGAACGGACTATTTTTGTTCATCAATTCAATTTTCTAAAACAAAATTTAACGATATGGTCGTATCAATGTTATAAGCTCCTAAAATTCTTTTAGTTAAATTAAGTACCCCGAACAATTAACTTAAATTATTCTAATAACATTACATAACATAACATTAACATAACATAACATTAATAATATTTACCTCTAAATATTATACCAATTATCCGTCTATGGATTTACTTTAAATATGTTAGTGTAACTATTTGTTATACAATATGAAAGTATATATATATTTTAAATTAATCAAATATTAAAATGATAAAAAAAAAAATTCAATTGTTCCTAGTCAAGGCCGAGTCACCTCTGTACTCGGCCGGTCGTAGACATAATGGCAACCTCCCTACTGTACTGTAACACATTAGCATAGTGGGCCAGTATGCTCCTCATGAAGGTATACTAAATATACAAAAATATAAAATCATAAGAATTTACAAGAACTGTTTTTTTGTTAAAATAATTATACAATATAAAACGTAAAACTAATATATGTATATTTGATAGATTGTAAACATCTAAATTTTCCTATATGATGTAATAAGTTAGAGCAATTTAAATTATCAATGACTAATGCTTATAAATCAATTGTATCTCATCACTTAATAGAAATTAAGAAATTATTTAATTTCCTTGTAAATATTGTTTCATACACAACGTCATAAATATTGGAAATAACTTTGATAAAATTTGATGATTAGTTTAATAAAGAAAAGCTAAATGGTAATTATGTTATTTCCTTGTGTTTACTAAATAATTCTACATATCTAGCATAAATTATACTAGACGATTAATGTTCAATATTAATAGTGTAAAAATTAACCTAAAATACATTATTATCAATGGCTTTTATGTTAAAATTACATCTAATTGAACTACTATTTTATTTATTTATTATCTTACTACATTATGAGTAACAAGTTGGCTATACAATTATTTTCTGAATAGCGTAATTATTAAATTTTATCTATAGAAAAATAAATCAATCACAATATATCAATATAAAATATTTTGGCGTTTTACTGTTTCTATTAACCTCTAATACGATACACAACAGTTATCATAATTATTGTAATTTATTTATGACTTAGTAAAGTAACCTATCACAAACAATATCAGAATCTAAAACTAAGACTAGCAATATTTTGAAGAAAACATAATAACTTACTATGAAAAAAATAATAATAATTCCTAATATTATAATTTTAACTTTTGATTTTCATAAAAAATTTTTATAACAAATTAAAAAAAAATTAACATTGTATACTTAACCTTATTTCATTAATATATAATAAAAATTATATTCCCTAAATACTAGTTTTAGTAGGAGATTATTTAATACTTATGAAACATCAAAAAAATCTACTAATTACTAGATTTTTTTTCTTGAGTAACTCAAGTTATTTCCAAAATTATTCTAAAATTTCTACTTATATATCATTTTTTACGTAGTATCAGTATTGAAATAAATATACTTATTAAGCGAGTTAAAATTAAACGTTTGACTCATTTTCACAATTAACGTTATCGAGTTATTGCTTATAATCGGCAATAATTTTTTTATGTCGTTTAATTACGAGCTGACAAATTAACTTTATTGTAATGAGGGCTGAATTGAAGAGTCGGGAGACTATAACAAATGTGACCACTCGATAATTTATTAGACTATTGTCTAAAAAATTATCGAGCGGTCGCAATTGTGGAATCAAGACATACCTAAAAAAAATAGGTTAAGAGTTGAAACTCCCTATTTTGAAAACATTTACGTATTTAAGGTATACTTTGAAGGGAATAGTAAAAAATTTTACTCGTGTACAACACCCTTCGCAAAAAATCGTGAGTGCGGCACTGACGTTTACCCTAAACCGGACTGAATTTAAATGTATGCTAATATACATTATTAAACCTTTCTAAACAGTCCCTACAAATAAAAGGATTGTAATAAAATTTAAAAAAGTTTAAAATTAGTGTAAAAACATGTTAATGCGGATTTTGGATGAAAGTTAACATTTAGTACCAGAAATTCATGAGCACCACCTATAGACAATACCAATTTCCGAATCATCTCATTAAGTTACGTCTTATCGGTGAACATGTAATCACATACGTTTTATATGCATTTTAAATGTTTCTATAGTTGTCACAATTATGTCACTTACGACTATTGCAAAGTCGCCTAGTCGTAATCGCGCATTGGGCACCAGCTATATAAATGAAATGATAACATGTTTAAAAAAAAACTATAAGACGTCATTAGCTAACCACGACAGTTAAAAAAAAACGCATTAACAAATACAACTCAACGTATTCTAGTTTAACAAGATCAATTCAGCCCATTGTATTCCAGCCACCACACGGATACTAACTAATTTATTTTATGCCAAGTGTAAACCAGTGTGATACTTGTAATAATAGAAAAAAATTGTCAATAAACATAACGGCCATGGATAACCTAACCTTTTGGAGACACCTAAATATGATCGCAAACATTAGTGTTTAGAAATTGCTGTTAGATTACGATAGTTGACGCAAAATATCAATAATGTCTTAAAATGAATTAGTTAATTGACATTAATACGCAATACCTTATGAACTCCTAGAACAACATTTTAATTTTGCAAGTTTTTAATTAAATTGCGAATTTGCTATTGTATCAAAACATTATACACAGGAGCTTACCAGATCTTCCATGGTACGTTGAGATACAATTTGTGGGAAGAAGTAAAATATTTTCTCTTATGAAATATAATTTGTTGACATGGATGTCATCATGTAAAAGAAACATTTGGTATTTGTAACTTTATCAACTTGATAATCAACAGTATAATTCATTTTTATCACGAAAAAAATGTTAGTTGTCTTATAAACATGTTATTAAACAATTTTTTTGGGAAATTTACATAAGTTACGAGCAATTAATAACAAAAAAAAAAAGGTGGTATATATTCAATCACATACAATCCGAGTTCTTATCTAAAATATCTATTTATTTATTTTTGCCGCTTGGATAAAAATTATGGAGATGAAAAAAAAGAAAATAATTTGTTTTTACTTTAAAGACAAATGGAATGTTTTTTGAAAATTAATTATTTTCCCTTGATTACTCTAAATATACAATTAATACTTTACGAATTAGCTTATAAATTAATATTTGAAGTATTTAAGAAAAATATTAAATTTCTAAACTTAAAAAAAAACTTGCAGTGTAAACGTGAAGTTGTACTAATACATCATTATTATACATTCAGTATTTACCCTTAAATATTTGTCTGATGTTTTTCAATATTAATTCTATACATTATTCTATATATTATATATAAAAATCTTGCAAAAAGGGTTGATACAAAATCTGTTTAATAAACTCTAAAAATGTTAATTATTCTTAAATAGTAGATTGAATTCAGATTTGATAATGTACGGACAATTAACGTTTTTACACATAATTCACAGTTCAATCGAATCAAGTAAACGAATGTTCATTATTGGCTATTGAGCAAGTTTCGTGTAGATAAATCGCGCGTTTGTATTTACTCGTAAGAGTGTTAGATGCGAGTTAAATTATAAGTGGAAACTTAACGAACACAAACTTATTTTACAACTAACGAACTAAGGCCACAATAGAGACCAAATATATACATGTGGTCCTTGTCCGTCCCAGTGACTGATTTCAATCAGCAATTCCCCGACGAAGAAAGCAGTTTCTTGACGAATCAACGAAATAATGAGTATACGATTATCTAGTTTAAAAAGTAAAATCCACTTCATGAAGAATTGCAAAATTATTCTATCACAAGATTGGGTGGTAATGCAATAACGTTATACTTACTTTATTTTCGGGTTTAAAACTTTTTTGCAATCGAATCATCGGTTGCATTGCCAAAATGTATAAACGATGAATGTGATTTTTTTTCTTCGTTTCTTTTATGAATCGTTGATTATTAGTGTTGACAAGTCCCCGCGATTATACAATACTATTTGAAATATAATCATAAAAGTAACGCTTTTAACAATTAACAAATATATATTATTTATATACAACCATTAATATGCTCGCCATAGAATGTTTAAGAGATCTTTTATCGCTAGTTTTCCCATTGATATGAAAAGCAATGATTTGTTGACTGTCCTCTTTTTGTAATAAATGAGTTATTTATGGAAAAAACCAAATTCGTCAAAGAGCTTTTGACCAACGAAGGAAATTAAAGAATTCTTATCAAGATTGAGTATCGGCCGTGAAGACCCAAACTATACACATTTTAACATTATACATAAATATTTCAATGCATTTTACCCCACCGAAAATCTTTGGTTGATGATATTTTTGTGATTGACAAGATTTAAGCATTTTCATTCTTCGAATGTCTTTTAATCAAACAGCTACGCCTGACGTCATTTTTAGAAAATTCTGTGAAAAATATATGAAACATTCATTCAATTCACTTTCAAAGTTATACAAATAAAATTATTAATAAAAAACAAATTAAGTATTTTCACGTGTACATGTACATAATTATAAGAGTCTTCTTTAACTGTTTTAAACTTATTCTTTAACTTTGTATTTTTATTTTCAAAAATTACCTAAAAATCAGTTTACCAAAAAAATTAAATTATTGGTATCAGTGGAGCAGCCGATTTATCTTAATGGATGGGAAGAACGAATTCACGACAAAATAAATTACTATTTCTATTCATTTAACAATAAGATCACTGTCAAAGACGTATAATGGGAGGTGAATACATTTATTTATTCACTTTTTTATAAATCTACTTATATATAACTATATCTAATGTGAAAATGGATTATACGAATATATACATATATATTTATGATTATATACACATCATCTTTACCAACAGAACATCAACTACTAGGTATTCATAATTATTAAAAACTGTTTTTATATTAGTTTTTTCAGTCGTTTGTTTTAAATTTTTACATCATTTACAGACTCAATATGTTATAACTTTTTTTTTTTTTATATATATATATATGGTACGGCCACTTCTATCTACGTGACTAATTGGTATCAAGTATAAAATAGATTTTAAATCCATAACGATAAACATGAAACCATATTTGTATTGATAATATTTTATAATTAATTTCCAATATAAGTGAAAAACTAAGTAAATGTATTTAATATGATAGATTAATTATTGAAAGCTTACGACAAAAATTCTTTACATTTATTTAGATGCCAGGAATTATAAAGGAAGTTTTTCACGTTTAGGAGTGTTTAGATGAAGCATAATCTACTTGAAAAAAAACTCAAAAAAAGTTGTCTAAGAATAATTAAATAAAAAAGGTATTTGAGTTTTAATAAAAAAAAAAATATATTTACTTTTTACTAGATAAAATTAAATAATTATTAATTTTATTACATTTTTTTAAATGAATAACTTTAACAACAGTAAAATTGATAAAAATCTCATTTTATTGTCAGTTAACAAAGCGTCAGGTACTTAGAATAGACAACTCAATTTTCATGTTATTTATTATTAAAAGGGATAGTATGTTTTATGTATGTTTTACATGTAATAATATTTCATCAACGACTGTTAATTGAAATAATGAAAAAAAAAATTGTTTTATGTTACATTTTGTTATAATTGTTAAACGCCTAGAGATTTTCCTTAACGTTTTCATGATTGGAGTGCACATACAAGGGACGTCTAGAAAGTAAGGTTACAACACGTGTAATTTATTAAAAATATAGTTTAAAAGCGTGTTTTTTTAGTTTTTTTAAACTATATTTATTTTTCACTTTTTAGTTTTATGTTATGATAGTAATTACTATCAATATCATGGTTGTAACGGGAATACAGGATTCGATTCCGGGAAGGGAGTCTGAGAAACGGCTCCCACATCCAAGGAAAGCAGCAGACGCGTAAATTACCCACTCCCGGAACATGGAGGTAGTGACGAAAAATAACGACACTGGATTCATCCTTTGTAATCTGAATGAATGAGTTCTATATCTCTAAATAAGAATTAAGTGTGTTAATATATATTTTTAATAGTAATTAGAATATATATATACATGTAAAGCGACTTAAGTACGTAAACGTATCATGCATTAGGTACAGTCGTGTTTTGTGGGCGGGCGGGTCGGACTAACGTTAAACCTGAGGTATAAACGACGGTAGGAATATATACGTAAGCCGTATGCACTCGGATGATAATGGTCAGTCAAAATAAAAATTTGTTTATATGTATATAATATTGATGACAGGCACGTGTGTACGGGTACGATAACCAAAAATAAATGTATACAGGAATAGTATTGCCGGCGTGTGATGAGCGAGGCGTGGGTTGGGGTGAATGCGTTATGACAGTCTAGTCTAGACGACGGAATATGCTATAACGCGTGGCGTTTGAAGAGTTACAAACATACGTACATACAGGTGAAACTAATATAAGCGTGTTAAAAACGTATATATATTATTGTGAAATTTACAGATTATATTTATTAATATGCCATTACTTTTCCACATAATTTCCATCTAGTTGGATACATTTTTGGAGCCTTAGTATCAACTTTTGTTTACCTACATTAAATACTTCTCGCTACACCTCCTTAAGCCACTTTTTTATAGCTTCCTTAAAATTCTCATAATTTGTAAAACACTGTCCTCACAAAATTGATTTTAATATAGTAAAAAGATAATAATAAAAAGGAGCTAAGTTTGGAGAATCATCTTGACCCACTTGATAGCATGTTAAAGTGACATTACATGTGGTCCATAGGGTTTTGGCTGGATACTGGTCGCATTTTCGTTACGCAAAGTGAGGAATCAAATGACCGAACGAACCTCACAATTACGATTTGTGGAGCGAACGGAGGAAAAATTGTTTGACGCGTTTGGTTACTGCGACAACATTTTTTAACGAACTTTGACGATTCATGGGTCATTTTAATCTTTAGCACTTTCTCTACATTTTGGTGGAACCAACTTTAAAAAAAATAAACTCCCTACGCTCTACACAGACCTTGTAACCCTAACTTTCAGACAACATTTAGAAGTCATGAAAAGCAAATACAACATCATTGCTAAACTCGTTATCATAGTATGGGTTTGTATTGCAAATATATTAGAGCTTCAACGCTGGCGATAGTGTATAGCTCAGCAAAGTATTGTGTTCCAGTCCAGATAAAAAATGATCACCCACTACCATAAAGTCGATGTACAATTAATCAGGCCATGAGAATAATAACTGGTATAAATTCAATGGTTCAGTGGGACTAAATGGACTATACCCCCACGCCATTAGCTAATTATTACTATTAACAGTGTATGATTTGATAAGCAAAAAGAAAAGAGTCCTCCCTTGAAAAATCGGACGTATACACTACAATGGTTTCAATGGCTATTGACCATTTACCCACTAGAGTTCGTTGAAAACTAGTGTCATTTATCATACTCAAACAAATAGAAAACAAGAAAAACTTATATGTTCATAACGATCTGTATTAAAATATTTACCCTACTAACTACTTTATTTTATTTTTAATATGATACTTTTGTATTGATCCATACATTTTTCAAAAAGTTATAGTAATTTTAAGTTTAAAAAATAAAATATGAAATCGTAAATTTTAACACCAAAATTGCATATATTTTATCTATGGCAACCATTTTCTCGTAGAAGATAAGTCATCAGGAGAAATTTTTTTTTTTGAACTTATAGTACATAACATTAGCTTTATTTTAGCAAATGTTTGAAGCTTGGAGTATTTCCGTAACATTTTCAAAACTTAAGTTGAAAAATTAAATTTTTGTGCAGAAGTTGCTTTTTTGAATTCCACTCCGTGGTCAGATATTCAAAAAATTTATATCAAATGTAAGATAAATATCTATATCAATTTAGAAAAGAACTATTTTGATTCGTTCATTTTGCAATAAGTCAAGGTAATTTTTAGAAAAAAAAAGTTTAAAAATGTCGAATTTACCGATTTTAAAAATCGTGATTTTTTGGGGAATTTTTACTTTTTACGGAGAACGAGTGAAAAATTTTCAATTTTTGAGGATAATGTCTTCAACTAGATACTATTTGTGATCTTTGACGTATCGTTGAGAAAAATCGGTCCAATGAAAGCTGAGAAAAGTAGTGACAGACACACAAAAAAAAAAATAAACACATCAGAATTAAATTAATACCTTCTCAGCTTCGCATCGAAGACAAAATATTTTATTTTTTTGTGTTTTAAATAGAAATGTTAAATTGAATTAGTAAACAAATAATTTTTGGACTAGTGATAAAACAATATAAATGCAAATATTATATAACTTCTATTTCATCATGAAAATAAAATATATAAATAATAATTCATAATGATGAAGATTTGATATAAATAACAAAGATTTTAATAAAAAAAAAATCATTTAAAGTAAAAATAATTAAGTATATTAGTTAAAATAATTATACAAACTATTTGTATGGAATATTGACTACTATTCAAATTTTTGTATAAAATAAATTTACAATAAAGCCACAAACAAATTAATGAATAATATTTTAACAATAAGTATAATTTAAGATAAAAAAAATCTGATTAAAATGTATTAACTAAATTTCCACCAAATTACATATCTTTATTTAAAAAATTATCTAATAAAATTAATTTATTATACATTATAAAAACTCTAGATACTTGAAAATATAATATCACAACAATAATATTTCTGATAAATCAATGAAAATTTGACTTTAAAATTAATTACAAAGCTACCTCCACAAGAAAATTTTGTACACCACACCAGTACAAATTTATTATAAAAGGTAACAAGAAATAAACTAGAAAAATAAAGCTATACTTAAGTACAATAACAAAATTTTAGATAATAATATACACAATACAAACACAACATATTTAGTGATGATTACACAATAATTAAATAACATTACTTGGTTAAACCAAGTTTTGAGCATAATATTCTTATGTGACTATGAAATTACTTTCATTAATATAACTCATAACAACTTATTAAGAATGAAAATACTTATTAGTTAATATATTTATGTGTTTGTATAAAATTCTTCAATGAGATCTTTGTATTTTTCATAAACAACTGGTCGTTTAACTTTTAATGTTGGACCTAAAATAATTTAATTTTTTTATTAAAATATTTTATCATTAATTAAACATATACAGAATAATCCACAATGTTTTGTCATATCAAATAACTTTTAATACAGTGACTAAATTGCAGATATTTTATCATTTTTATGCATTAGGACTACAATAGCTACAATCCTAAAGCATAATAGTCACATTTATTCAAATATAGTGTAATTTTTGTTCATCAACTAACTTATGTAGTTTAATTTAATGAAATTGGACTATTGAAACTTGAAATAAATTGAATAAATTTTGAACATTGTTTTTATTTAAAATTTTTTTTAATACCTACTAATTATTTTGACTTTTGATTAGGTAATATTAAAGAAAATTGTACTATTAGATAGATAGTTATAATATTACTGTACGTGTTTTTCATTTCAATTGGGTAATCATTCAAGCAATGATAATTTTTATGAAAAAACTTTGATAATAACTAATATTAAAAAATAATAAAAAGTAAAACTAATATTTAGTGTGAAAAGATTGCATATCTTCTATCTAACTCTAATACTGACATTTAATTGTGTGAAATAAACATAAAAATTCAAAATTTTACAAACTTTAAAATTCTCTTGAAATTTAACTACAAAACATTAATAAGAAATTATGATATCCAATTTTTGCTTAAAATCTGCTCTACAAAATGGCCGTCTAGAATTTTTTACAAAATGTTTTCTTAAATTTTTAATATCTTTTTTAAATAAATTTAAAAATAACTAATTTTATATTACCATTGTTAGGGATGAGCAGAATATTAAGAAATTATTTGGTATCCTGTGTATTTGGCTAATATTTTGGTAATTAGACAAAATGTATAACTATTCGTTCAAATTGTATTTAACTGAATAGTTTAAAATAGTAATAAAATTTAAATTAAATTAAAGATAATATTATTTTTTTAAAGTTTATAGCTTTTATTATAGTCTTTTTTTCATATTAGAATTAATATTTATATTACTATTATTCTATTTATCTTACATATATTTTTGTAAAGTTATAATATTGTTAAAAATAATAGAAAAACCTACATATCCCAGCACAACACAATTAAACTTTGGAACCTACACACTAAGTATTTCCAACTAAACTAAGTAGATTGTCTGCATATATATTTTAATAAGTGTATAAGAAACTTATTTAATAATAATCAATTGTAATAATAATTATTATATACAGGGTGTTCAGTAAGTCAGGAAACGGGTTTCTATTGTTCTCATTGTTTGTAACAATGAGAACAATAGAAACCCGTTTCCTGACTTACTGAACACCCTGTATATAATAATTATNATACCAAATGTTCAGTTAAAAAAAAATTATGTAATTTGGTTTTTCCAAATTAACTGATTCAGCCCATCACTAATTATTGCAATCAAAAAATATTAAGATTATTAAAAAAATGTACTACAAAATTGAATTAAAACAAACAAAACACAAACTGAATAAAATTTTTAGGATTTGTCTAAATATATAGGACGAACCACACTATATATATAATTTATAAAATAAATTATGACTGTTTTAAAAATAAATTTGTATTATTAACAAACAATTTATTCAACACACCCAATTCACCAGTAGGCAATGAAAAATCAACTGGTATAAATGCAAATTTCTGAACTTTTTGTGCATTGGACACTGCTTTTTTGTTAGCTTTATCAAGTCCTTTTTGAACAGCTTCCATTACTTCTTTAGGTTTGTTGGCTATGACCTCTGATACTTTAGTATATTGACAGCTTAGGGACTTCAGCCAAGTAATAACTTCAGGTGTTAAATCATCTAATGGTTCTGTTGTTTCTGGATTTATTTCACACTATAAGAAAAATGAAGTTATATTTAAAAGATATAATAGTAAATTTATAGTATGAAAGAATCAATCATACTCCATATATTTTGGCAATTTTTTTTAATTAGTAAAATGTTTTAATTTAAAGAAATATGCAATTTCAAATAAATATTTACTATATAATAAAAATTGATCACTTGTGGCTAATTAATTTTACTTAAATATTTACTATTTATTTCTACAGAATAATAAATAAATGCGGAAATAACTAGTTCTTAAAATAAAAATTCATTTTAAGGGCTAATTTAAATTTTTTTAGAAGCAGTGGAATGATTGTCAAAACTAAAATAAATTTGTTATAAATTTGAAAGTTTCCAAAATTATTAAACATTGTGTTAAGAAATATAATTTTAATTAATAGAAGGGCTTTGTGCAAAAACAAGGTCACTCTTTTTTTTTTTTAATCACATTTTGATGATTTTAAATTAAGATAAAAACGACAAATACATCTATTCAAGAAACAAATGGGTATAATACATAATATTGTATTTTTTAAATATACTGGTAGGTAAGGATACAATTTAAAAATGTCTTGTTTTTATCTAAAGCTCTTGAATTATACTTCTAGACAAAATAATTAATAATTATTTATTTTTTATCAAACATTTACTTAATCATAGCAACAAAATAATTAAAATAATTGTATTTATTAAATTTGAGATGAGTTTGTACTTTTACCTTTAATGATAGTAAAATTGATAAAAATTTCCTTTTGTCACCAATTAACAAAGCGTTACTTATAACAGGCAATTCTGCTTTGACATTATTTTCAATTAATACAGGTGGGATATTCTCACCACCAGCAGTAATTAATAATTCCTGTAAAACAAAGTTTTTTTAATTTACCAAAAAAAAAATTAAATATTACTAATTTTTATTTATTTTTAAACCTATAATGAAATAGTTTTAAAAAAATATCACTACTTTAATTCTTCCAGTAATAACAACATGTTCTTTTTGATCAATTTGTGCAATATCACCTGAATGTAGCCAACCTTCTTCGTCAATAGTACTCTTAGTTTTATCAGGCATATCTAAATAGCCCATAAATACATGGCGTCCATATAAACATAACTAAAATAAGTAAAGTATGATTGTATTACTTGAAAATAAAAGTAATAGATAATTTTCATTATTACCTCTCCATTACCATCTTTGTCAGGTTTGTGAATCTTTGATTTAGCACCACTCAATGTTTTACCCACTCCAGCTACATTTTCATCAGTTGGAATACTCATAGTGTGTGCACCACTACATTCAGACATTCCAAATACCTTTTTTTAAATTAATAGAATTAATTTTCAGGGAATAGTAAAATTGTAAAGCTATAATTTCATGATTATTAAATAGTTGTATATAAAAGTTTAAAAATTGAAATGTACTTACTTCACACAGTGGTATATCTAAGCTCATAAAATATTTTTTTAATTCAACAGATATTGGAGCGGCAGCAGAAACAAAAACTTTACATCTATCAAAGCCAATTGCATGTTTTATTCGATTAAAAATTAACCATCTAAAGAATTTATATGAGTACGTTTCTTTTTCAACACTGCAATAAAAAAGTCAAATCTGAACATTAAATAATCATAATTACATTTTTTTTTACATATGAAACAATTATTTAAAAAATTAATAGTAACACACTAATATATTTCTAATTGAACTATGAGAACACTTGAAATTTTAGAAATTCAATACTATATGTTTTATTTTAAAATATTTATTTACCCTTTCATAGCATCTTCATAGTGATGTAGGCCAACTTGTTTTGCCCAATCTGCAATATATTTTTTGAGAGAACCAGATTTTCGCCCAATACTAACTAACTTTTCATTGATTTTTTCCCAAACACGAGGAACTCCTAAAAATGCAGTAGGTCTTGCAACTTGGAGAGTAGATACTAAAGAACCCTATGGATATAAAATTTTATTTTCACTTTGTTTTTTTTCTTGAAGTTAATAAATTGTTTATTTCAAACCTTAAGAGCATCTTTTTCAGCAAAATATACTTGTCCTCCCAGCTTAATAACACAAAATATATCAGTTATCTAAAAAAAATTTTTATTTAAAATTAAAACAAAATATTAAAAAATAAATAATATTACTAACTTGAGCAGCTACATGGCTTAATGGTAAGTAGGATACGAGAACTTCTTTGCCTTGTTCTAGAGACAAAAAGCTGGTCAACATATGAGCATTAAAAATGATATTGTCATGACTTATCATCACAGCTTTAGATGGTCCTTCAGTACCTGACTAAAATAATTGGAATAAACACTTTAATGAACAAAAATGGATATTTTTTTTATAACTCAAAACTTGAAATCAATTAATACTATTAATACTAAATTACTAAATTAACATTTATTTATTATTCATTAAAAATATGTAATTACATATAAAAAATTCATAAACATGTTTTAATTGTAAATCTTATAAAATTATAGTAATTGTTATTGTTAAGTTTAAAAATAAAAAAATAAGATAAATTATATGACTTTGAGATGAAAATCATAAACCCATTTGCTGATAACTTACTGTATATACTAAAGTACAACATTCATTGACTCCCATAGACTTTAGGATTTGGTTCAGTTGATCATCATTTTCAGCAGAGCCTATTCTCATAACATCACCCCACTAAAATCAAAAATCCATCAAAAGTTATTTTTAATATAAAATTTAAGTATTATATGAAAAGGTTCACTCACCGATAAAACTCCTTCTACAGTTGGCTTTCCTTCATACTGGATTATAGCTTTTAGATGAGGTAAACGATCCCTAACTGAAATAATTTTTTCCAACTGTTTTTCATCTTCAACAACAGCAATATTTGCTTTGCTATTCTCTAAACAATGGTGACAAGCATCTGGAAGATTTGTAGTGTACATACCAGCAGCAAATCCTCTAATTTAATAATAAAGATTTTATTTATATTATTTTCCTACTTAATAGCATCACATAATGACTAATAAAAGATTTTAAAATCACCAATATTGACTCACCCAGCATAAATAGCTCCTAAATCTGAATAAAACCACTCTGGAGAATTAAAGCCAATAATACATACACCATGGTATCGTTCCAAACCCAATTTGAGAAAAGCTTTAGCAACAGTACGTACATTTTGTTCGTATTCTCTAAATTAAATAAAAAAATAAAATATTAATACCTGAAAGTATATTATAAATATCTTTTTACTTACTTGTAAGTAACTGTGACCCATTTATTGTCAGACTTATAGTTCAAAGCTGGTTTATCACCATATTTCTCAACAGTATTTGACAGAAGACCTGGAACTGATATTGGCGTTGAATCTGCACCTTTTTCAATTCGTAATTTCACTCTTCCATTTGCAGCGCTAGTATACAATTCTGTTGCAGGCAAAACTTGATCTGGTCCATCTAAAATACAAATTACAATAATTTAACTAAACATGCTTGAATTCCAATTAATTCTAATAAAAACTTACACATTTCATTTTGATTTGTGGAATTTTCGTGACTAAAAATAAAATAAAAAAATTTAAACACTTAAAATTGTCTATTTACTAACATTGAAAAAATAATTTAAATACTTTTTTTAAATATAATATTAAACAATTCTAGATTTATTCTTTTCGTTAGTTCATAATAAAACAATTACTCACTTCATAGTAGACTGTGTTTTAACTTGGTTTTCAACTATTGTAGTTGTGGTAGTTGAGCTTGCTAAGAATGCCTACAAAGTAAAATTTCATTAATACATTAAATATAAGTATACTTTGAATAGTGTCAACATAATTTCATTTCAAGTTTCTAAAAAAAATTAACTCGCATGTTAAAATATATATATATAATATACCACTAATAATAATATAACAGTATAATTTTGCTATAACACTGCTATCCTAAGCCAAAAGGCAATATGCACCAAAATAGTACTTTTGAGAAAAAAACTACTTTTTCTGGATTACTTTTTATTTTTAGTATATAACTTATTAAATAATTAAAAGTACTGAATATGGTTTAATACTAAGCAAAATTCCTGTATAATGTGGTTATTTATTCTCATGCTGCTTAATATATAACTGATACTCCAATTTTATTTAGTATTATTCATATATTTTAAAATATGTACATTTTGAATCACATTTTCATAAATCTACTGAATTTATGCTATTTCTGCTAAGAAATTAAAAAATGCAACTTATAATTAAGAATATTGTTGTATAAAAACTAATTTTATGGTTACATAACCCATTCTACATCTATCAAATTGATTTTGGTTTGCAATTAAAAATATAAAAAAATAGAGAATAATAATGATAGTTTCCTTTATTTATGTAATATTATTTATCAATTCATTTCACTATGTGTCTAAATTAATCGGCCCTAACATTAACTAATAACCAACAATATTTGATTTTGATTTTTTTTTTCCATAAAATTGTTCAATTATCAAAATGACTTGGAATAACCTGCATTTAAAAAATGCTAAATATAAATTTGCTTATTAACTCATAATTCTTAAGTATACCATTAAAAAAAAAAAAAATGTTAATGTCATATTAGGGCTCTAGTTACTTTCCTACTCCTAAATACATTTATAGGTATCAATAAATAAGCTTAAAACTCATTAGGACTTTCAGTACAAGTTCAAGGTTAAAGTGTGTAAACATAACTAAACACATGAATTTTTTTATAAATATTTTTACAGAATGATTCATTTATTATAAACCACATAATTAATCAAAAAAATATAAATATTAAAAACTATTTTTGGTTTCTTTAAATAAATGATTTTTTCTATTAATCACTTATACATTATAAGGGTATCAACTTTTTTTTTTTTTTTGATACCATACATAATTAACTAGTTAATAAATAAAAATCTAATTTAGAAAATGAATGGTCAATAACAATTTTGGTAGAAATATTTTAGAAGTTATTAAAATTTTTTAGTGATAGCTGGAAGTGAGATTTGGCTGTTGTTATTTTTATCACTAATCATTTCTCAACTGAATTCTTCCTCTCACCTAATTATAAAAGAATAGTAATAAATTTTGAAATACTACTACAAAAATTGTAATGACTAGTGATTTTCTCAATTGTATTGTAATTTATTAAACAAAATAATTATGTATGGCGCCATATCAAATAAAAAAGTTGACACCCTTATAATGTATAAGGGATTAGCATAAAAAATACTTTATAATTGATAAATAAAAAAAACATTTATTTAAAGAAACCAAAAAATGTTTTAATATTATTTTTATTTTTTCACTAATTATGTGGTTAATATTAAATTAATTACTCGGTATACTCATATTTTTAAATATTTATACATTACTTCTTTAAGACTTAAATTATAATGAGTTCCTCCATTTTGTGAAATACTTGGAGTAGTATCGCCATCATCGCTCATTTTGTGTAAGTCAACAACTGGAAAATTATTAAATGTTATAAAAGTTTAACTATAAGGTCAAGTTTAAACTTAAAATATGGTTAGTCTATTTTCTTTGAAATGAATTTGTCTATGTAGGACGCGATTACTTTCATTTATTTACACTTTTGAAGTCTAAACATGTCCAGTTAACATTCATTATTATTATTATGATCTACATTCCATGAAGCACAGTACAATGAACTTAAATAATATTAAATTTCCACGCTCAAAATGTTAAAATTAAAATTTTATACTTACTCTAGTTGTAAAACAAATAAATTTCGATGTTTTTTATTTAAAAAAAAAGAAATCAAAGACGAGGTTTTAAATTTTATCAAAAGACAATATTATTAGCATTTAAAAACATACTAATTTTATTTTATTTAACTGGATGAATATTAATATTGTTTTATTATAGAATAAAAATTAATCAGCTAATTTTCATAACCTGACCCCATCGCCGATAACTAATAAACAAATAGATACCAAACATTATTTTTACCTTTGGGCTATAAATGATTCAATAGTTTTAAACCTTTGATTCAAATTGACCTTCATTTTCAAGATGCACATCCAATAAAAAAAAATTAATACTTAAATTATTCATCGTCGGTTTTAATATTTATACGCCTCGTAAAAATATGATTATTGAGATATATTTAATAATTAATGAATATTTAGTATTTTACGATTGTTTGTTAAATCTATGCGAACCAATTGATTAAAATAAAATGTAATTATTGTTTTATGCAAAATATTTTCAAGGCTGAGAAAAAATGTGTGAAAAAAATATAATGCATTATAATAACTTTCGACCAAGTGCTTTCAATCGAAGTTTAACTTTTACAAATGTTATCATTGCATCTTAAGTTACTCATATATTTACGAATTAAATTAAATTAATATAATATTTCAGCTTATAAACTACTGAACATAAATATTTACTAGTAAGATGATATTTGAAATAAAAAATCTCGTGCTTACCACATACTATTTGTAAATGTGTAAATATTTTCTATGAAATAATAATTAGGATTCACATAAATATTACCAATAAATATGTTTTAAGTACAAAGCATGCGATATGATTCTAAATTTCAAAAGAACGATTGACTTAAGTTCAATGTCCATTTTAAGCTATAAAGATGGAAACTTCAAAATGAAATGCTGTTAATAGAAATTAAAAATAAAATTTAGATTAAAATATGAATTACTAACATAACAATTAACGAGATTCAGGAAAAAATTCAGTCAAGTCTGAAACACACAACTATACAATTATAAGATAAAACTAATTGAATTATACGTTTTATTAGACTATTTTAGAAAATAATAAAAAAATCGCATAGAAATCGAATGATTAACTAGATATTAATGAATTAGTTTTAAACTAATTTAAAATTAGTTATTAAAAAAATTGTTAAAAAGAATAATGCATTTTAAATTTGATAACATTAAGTTAAAAATGTACCTACCGATAATAAACACTTCGTACCACTCGAAATTTTAGACTATAATAAAATTGGATAAAAATTAAAAAACGAGTAATTATTTTAATGTATATTTTACACAATATTAGATGAGAAACATACAGTTTGGGAAAACTAAATGAAAAATTATGCATAATACTGAACTAGTATTTATATGGAATATATATTCAAAAATCGCTCACTCTTTATAACGATGTTATATCTCAAAATTCGATGTTTTTTAGTTATGCTTGTTTAAAGAAATCCCTAACACGTAGTACATTCAATCAAAAATTCAATAATTTGGCGATCCAGAGAAGCTTGAGTTATTCATTTTTACACATTGCAATGCATTTTTAATTTTTAAAAACGCTCTCCTAAAAAATCAATTTTTTGAGATGGCGTTGATGAAAGAAATGAGTAAAATATGCAAGAGCACTATTTGATTAGATAATACGAGTTCTTAAGTAAAAAGAAAAAATAAGATATGTCCAGCGACTTTCATTAGATAGGAAAAGAGAAACTTAGAAATCACGTACACAAATTATAGGAAGAATAGTATGGATTTAACTATTATTTATCTCTAGATGATTAGAATCCGACCCACAAATAGGTTAAACATATTCCACGTCAAAACCTGATTTCATTTTAGTTCACAAGGCCATAGTGACCTTAAGACATATTTCTCTTTATAAAGTTCATCGTTCTCACTACTGCATTATTCACATTTATAAAGTAAAATTTAACTCGATCATTAATTAAATATCTACGAAGTAATATGAATATAATCAAAATTAATACAATATATCGGAAAAATTGTAGTATAATAATAGCTAAAGGAATCTTCGATGTGTCTCTCGTGTATTTTTAACATTGTTATTTATTTATATAAAAATTCCTAAAAAGCGAAAAATATAGAAATATAATTAAAAAGTTTAACCAAAAATAATAATTATTTTAGATAAAAAAAAGAACTTCCAAGTAATAAAATTTTACGTAATGATTTAAAAATAAAGAAAACGTGAAAATGAAATGTAAAACGTTAAGGTATTATAAAATAATTTTATCAAGGATTTAGACAGAATCCACTAAAGAAATTTCAAAGATAGCTTAAAATAATGTAAAGTCAACAAAACTCTAAGTAATACTAAAAATAAGTTAATTAATACATAAAAAAAAAATTTATTATATTTAAAACATATAAAATATTTTTGTATAAAAAGCTACAAAAGTAGACATTGAGTTTCAATAACACAAATTACCGAATTAATTTTTTTAATTTGAAATAGCTAAAATCGTATATACAATTTACTTTTAATTTTTAATTAGTCGTGGGTATAATTCTCATACTTAGTTTTCGTATTTCCATCGATTGCTTGGGAGTATGATTTTATTTAATATGCTACCATTGTTTGTCTTAGTATTTTTAACGATTATAATGAATATTCAAAACGAATAAGTAACTAAACAATTTTCTGAATAATTATTAAAATAATTAAAAACAAAAGGTTATAACTTAATTATAAGCGTTATTAGCCATTGATTTCTCTTTGAAATATAGAATAATACTCTATATAAAAAAAGACTATTTAACAACCAATATTAATATACTACTAGATATAAATATTTCTCTTGACAATAAATAATAAGAAAATATGCAATTTTGTTTTAAAAAAATACGATTTATTTACCAGTTTCAAAATATAACAACTAACAAATAGGAAGACTATCACACCTGCTTAAAAAAATTCACGGCATTTAATGTCAAGGTCAATATAAGGGGTACGCCAGGTGTTCAACCCGCATGAGACCCCGCATTTTAAATATCCCCGTAAACAAAGTGATGACAAAAAAAAGGGTTTTTTCTACAAAAAAATAAAATTAAGAGCCCTGCAATACTGTTTCACACAAGGTCTAGTGATTTTGTGCAACAATAAGCTCAAGTTCTCCCAGAGGTAAAAATATGGAATGGGATAAAAAAAAAGTTTTACTGATTGAATTATCTTTTTATATCCCGAGACTTTTTTAAAAGTTTTTTCTTTATAATATCTTATCTATATATTTATAATATATTATAATATTGCTAAATAAAAAGATAAAATATTGTTCAATTGGGATAACAGTCCTACAACCTCTTCAAGAGACTGATTAAGCTTATGAAAATTGAATAAAAAAATTGAAATGGTGAAAATGTATGTTTTTTTTTTTTACGAAGAAGTATTAAAATAATGCTATATGCATTTCTCTTTAAGAAAACACTGAGTATTTCCCCGTGTATTATTATAAATAGTATAATATAGGTTTTATATAACATTTACCTAATTTTTTTATAATGGATGAATAACTTATGTGCATCTCATACAGTTCGATACCTTTATAGTTCATTAAAAAAAGATACTCACTTTCTTTTTTATTACCTAATCATAGATACAACAATTCAAAAAATGATGGAGAGCTGCTAGTTTTAAAATTGGAGACTAAAAATTACTTTCAGAAGAGACCGTCCAAGTACTTATTTTTTTATTTAACTATGTATAATGGCAATATCTTTCATAATATTAAATATAATATAATATTTTTTTCATAAGTTGATAGTATTATAAGTTCTGCAATTTCTAGAAAATTTGGCTCAATCCACTTAAAATATTATCAACATTGGATTTTTTAACAGAAACATATATGTTAAGCTAACTTTCATATAATAAATGATCTATCTAAGACAATGATTGGTCAATAACAACTTTAGGATTAATTTTTAAAAATGATTAGTACTTTAATAACAAAAAAGGGAGTAGTAGTGCAAGTAATACCTAAACATAAAAGTAGACTTGTGCGTCATTTTATGGTTTTTATACTAAAAAGTTACTAACTTCCAAAGTTTTGGTCAAAAAATTGTCATCGATCAGATATTTTCTTAGATAGATAATTATTTAGTTTTTTATTATATATAATAATATAATAAAAATTGTTATCATTTTGTTTCCTTTTAAGTAACTGAAGTTGTAATATTTTAAAGGGGAAAGGGATAGGATTAAAATTTCTAGTTATTGTAAAACCTAAAGTACTATCAACTTCTAAAAATAAAAACTAATATTATATTTCATACTTTAAAAGATATTGCGTGAATTATAGTTAAACTATCACCCTTCATTTAAAAAATACTTATAAACAATATATTATAACATTTTTAGTAAAAGGTCAATTGACTTATTAAGATCTGTACCTTCCTTTTTCATATTTTTCAGAAAAAATTAACAAATAAATCTAGTATAACAAAAGTGTAAATAAAAGTTTAAAACTACTTTAGAAAATTATATAATTACAGGGCAGGAATTCTTATTATTTATTATGGGACTATGACACATAAATTTGTTGAACTATTGATCACAAAAAAATTGATACCTTATCATCATTTTTTCAACTACGAGACTGGAATGGGCAAAATTACAAAACCATATTTAAATAAGTATGGTGACTTTGAAACCCATATAAAAAAGGAATAAAAATATTACTCAATATTTTATAGTAAAACATTTTGTAACAATAAAGGATGTACCAACTTATTAGTACTCCACAAGAATCTTTCAATGGTTACATATGTAAAAAAACAAACAAATTTGTCATTTTTAACATTAAATTACATACAATATTACACATAAAAAAAACTAAAGCTAATTAACAGTTATTCATTGATTTAAAAATATTGAATCTTGTAATAGAAAACAAGTTTTAAAGGACAGTTTTAAAGCTGCTGAATTGTTTAGATAATACTCGGAGCCATGTAATACGAAAACACTTATTTTTAATAAAACCACTAATTAGATCAAATACATTCAATATTTAATACCTATTGAAATAAAGCTTTTTAAAGTATTTTTTTATGCCTTGGATAGGTAATGAACATTAGGTATTTAATTATATTAAATTAATTTAATACAAAATGGTATAATTGAAAAAAGTAATTTCTTGATTTTGGGACTTTCATTATATATGTTCTAAAATAATTTTAAAATGCTGGAAAAATAATCATATAAATTAATTTTTTTTTTTAATTGCATAACTATTAAATAATTTATTATTTGATAAAATATTATTTTATTATTAAATTAACAAGTGCAATTATTTATTTATTCATTGTTCAAACATTCAAAGAAACTCCCTCAACCTATATTTATAAAAGACAAACAATAATTATACAGAGAAAAACCTTGAAAAGTAGTAATATTATTAGTTAAGTAATTTAATATTAATTAAAGTTACTGTTAATTAAAAATTAACATTTTATTTTTAGTAATTACTAGACAGAAAAATTACTTATTCAATGTGAAAATAATAAATTCTTACTTTGGAAATATTAAAGTTATATGAATATTCTTGATTAAAATAATAAAGCATATTAAGGGTAATATTTATTAAATTAATCATGGTTATAAAAAATATTTAGATAAAAAAAACAAGAACATAATGTATAAAAAAAAAATTTTTAGCTACTAGTTGTAAATTAATGAATCTTTAAAATACTTAAAACATTATTTTTCTGATAATCAAAATTAATATTGAATGAATAATGTTAAGCATTTAATGCTCTAGTTCTTACAAAAGTTTTTATAATTCTATACTGTGTCTATGTTCAATAATATTAAAATCGATATTTATCAAAATGATAAGTATTAATTTTTTATAGTACTTTTGAATTAATTAATTTGGATCTACATTAATTCAATGAAATGGGTTTTCATAAAAATAATTACCTAAATTGTTCATTGTTTTTAGAGGTCAACCTTTTATTCACATAGTTATACTATGCAAATTAAGGAACAATATTTATTTTGAACTAAAATCTCAAAAATTTTTTTTTTTTTGGTGTTTATTATATTTTAAATATTCAGCTAGTTAATAATACTATAATTTAACATAAACACATTTAATAAAATAATTTATTCAATCTTACAATTTAAAAGATTAGTTACCGTATAAGATCACACCCTAGTGAATAATGTTTATGGTCGATTGATGATAAATGTCGTTCGGCGACTTCCTTGCGATTTCGATATTAAATAAAATATATGACAAACGTTCAAAAACTGTATAGTTAAATTGCACCCACCAGATAGATGGCAAAAAAATACCTATGTTTATATACACACACCTGGTTATGAACAAAGTTGATATGGTTCTTGAAAGGATCACTTCGGAGTCGGGATATCCAAAAACGTTTCTAAATTTTAACCGGATTCCGGAGTTTTCCAAACAGCAACAGATATAACGGTACACTTTAATAAGCAAATTTACCGATAAGAAAAGTAAGTAGTTGACGACTGTGAGGTACGTGGTTGATAAGCAGCTAATATTAATAACGGTCGATTAATTTGAAATATAAAGATCAATTAATGACTTAATTTTTAAGCTATATTTCGGCTTTTTACGTTCGGTGCTGATAATGTTATGTTACGTTTACTTCTATAAATAGTACTGCGGACGACCGACCGACACGGTATCGAACATCGATTGATGATTTTAAGAAGACGGTTTTTTCGCGCAAAACTGTTTAAAAGAATAAGGTTTGTTCGATAATGAATCATATGACGTCACTAGAGCACTGTGTACCACATAAAACAAGGTAGACGTTTGTCTTAATCATTGTTTGCGCAGATTCTTACCCTCACTAACCATGCAAATAATACCTCTGCCAGAGAAACCATCTACTACAACTCGTGTGTGCCACCACGTCACATGGCTACGGCCAATGCCACCCGGCACTTACGACGAATCGCGCGGTTTTCATATATCACACCACTTTTAGTTCGTCCAATGACAATGAAGCACACGACGTTTCCCTTCTTTTACCTCAATCAAGTGTAGTTATTACGTAGTAAAATTATTGAAGTATCAACAGATACGCGCTGCGTATATCTGTTTGATGTGTAGCACAAATGTAAAGGTATCCCGACGATACTAAGTCGGAGTACGATAATTATCGTATCCATGACAAAATAGATTTTGTCATGATCGTATCACAATATTAGTACTGCAATATTAAATTTAATGATTTATTTTTCCTTGAAATAAAAATACAATTTTTAATTACATGAAATCGAATATAAAAAGTTTATTATTGAATGTAAATATTTCATAGGTAATAACTTCATTAAAAATAAGAATATTTACCATATTTTAGTTGCGCAAAATCGTATAACAGTATGTTTATAGACTATTTATTAAAAATAACAAATACCAATAACTTATATTGATTTTATCGTATAGATATTGTTATACACATTGTAGAAACTATGTACATAAATAATTACTAAAAATAAGTGGCCACAAAATAAATTAAGCAATAAACAATTGTGTAAAAGTAATATTCATATGCAATTTTAATTCATTTTATCTAATATCTAAATATCACTTTAATTTTGCTTTTTTTGAAATTTTTTCGTCGGGTGATGATTTGAGCCGGGAATTTTCTTGTTTAGTTTTATTATTTTTGTAAGCCTGAGACATTTTTGTGATGTTATTTTTATATACATTTTCATGTATAACTATTCGTTTAGGATAATCAACTCCTATTACACAACGTGCTTTTTCCTGAATTGACTTGGGGGCAGACCATGGCTCATAAATATATTCATCTGGATACTTTAATAATTCAGGAACATACTTTCTTATATAATCACCACTTTTATCAGTTTTTTTACCAAATGCTACAGGACTATATACTCGATAAAATTGATGGAAAAATGCTGATGCTGACAACCACATCCAATTACCTGCATTCATTGACCAGTCAGCATCAAGTAATAATTCTTCAAAAACTGCTAAACCTTGCTCCCATGAAATAAATAAGTCCCCACGAGTCAAAAAACAAGCTACAGCGTGTCTAGCCAAATGATGTATCCATCCTTCATCTCTTAGTTGTCTCATTATAGCATCAATAAATGGATAGCCAGTTTTTCCATTAGTCCAAGCTAAGAGAGCATCAGGGTTACTTTCCCATGGGATTTGGCAACATATTGGATTATTTATCATTTTGTCGAAATTAAGAGTAAATGCTCCTACAGTATAGTAAAATTCTCTCCAATATAATTGACCAATTAAAGAAACTGGTGGTTTTGAATGTGGACTATTACCAATAACTTCTTTTAATCTATAATAAAAATGGCTACTAGATAAACAGCCAAATTTCATATAAGGACTTAACACAGTAGTACTTGGCATTAAACTATTTGGAGAAGTATTTGGCTTTTCAAATTTACAAACCCAACTTTTATTTTTCATGTATTCTTCCAAACGTTTCAAGGCTTCTACTTCTCCTCCTGGATACAAACAAGGCTTTAAATCATTAGGACTATATCCTTTCATAGTTAATAGTTCTTCAATACTTGGTATTTCATATTTATTATTTTCTAAGTCATCAAGAAGACAACCAGAAGGTAATTTATCAGGAGCTGGAATTGGTTTCCGAGGTTCTGGCATAGTACTTATAACAGCAACAAATTTCTGATATGTCATTGGAACATTGCCTTTGTTTGCTCGTAATATTAGTTCTGTATTGTAAAGTGTATGAGAAACTTTTTGTTCTACTTTCACATTATGTTGTCTGGCTAATTGTTCAACATATTCATCTCTTTTTTTTGCATATGGTTCAGTATCTAACTCAAATGTTAGTAACTTCACATTCCATTTGTCAAATAACTCAGGAAATATTTCTTCTGGTAAACCTCTAACAACATACAACCGAGTACCTAATTTTCTTAAAGATAAATCCAAATCTACTAAACTTTGTTGCAAAAATCTCCAACGGTTCATACCAGCACGAATGTATTTTCGAAAATATGGATCAAGAATATATATAGGGCGTAGTTTATAAGGTTGATTGCTTGAGTTTTTCGATTCCCAAGCTAATTTAAAAGATGTATTATCATGCAAACGCATACCTTTTCGAAACCAATGAATACTTGTTTCTGGAACACTCATTTTTTTAAATTTTTTGTACAAAATAACTCACTTGAAAAAATTTTATTCACTGAATTTTGTTTTTATAAGAATAAATTGATTTGTAATAAAAATTTAAATAATCAAGCTAATTATTTTTCAAAATACTTTAAAAGATCCATATGACGAAGAACTTTTGGTAATTTAAGGTTTAATTTGAATTTTTGAATAAATGATATAAATATTACATGAAATTATTTTCGAAGAGAATAATTTCTCATTTGTTTACTTTTGTTTGATAAGGTTCAATTATAAATATTGATAAAAAAAACGCCGCGAAAATTGTTAACATTTTTATCTATATCAAAATGGTATATTAACCTAGCATAAACTAAGTTAAATTTTTTACGAACATTTATTTAAACCAGTAATGTTTTACAAAATTTTAAGGTTTTTGAAAATAATTGGGATTTTTTCATAAAGCTATCCCTTTACTCTAAGTAACATTTAGTTACTTAAATAAAATAGAATAATTGATCAATTTAACATTTAAAAAAGTTTAAAAACAAATCCTTATTAATTTAAATCTTTAGTCACTTTAATACAACAATTAAGTAAACACAACTAGCACGTTTTTCGAAGGGGAAGTTGAAGAACGCCTCTAACCTCTCCATATATACTTTTGTATTTAATACATATAATATTTATGTATTTACTATTTAATAATTAGGTGAGGTGAAAGTCCCTATTAAGCTACATAATGTATTGATCGTTTAGAAGATTAAACACCAGTAGAAGTATTTGCTGTTCTACAGTGACAAATTTAAGGGGAGAATTGAGTACACGTGACTCCGGCGACAGGTTTGAAGGCGGCACTGAAAATAATACTAGCCACGCTATTAATGACAAAATATGAATTTACAGTATTGACAAGCCTTTTTTTAGCTCATCGCTTCAAAAAAATAGAGAGCATTATTTTTTTTCTTGGACAGCAGAATCTTGTACTTTTTTTTTTTTGTGTTTGTGTTCTGTGAGTTGTTTTGCCTACCCTCCCTAACGGTTTCCACTCTGGGATCCGGCAAACGGGAGGGGGCCACACCACGTGCAAATCCGCTCTTGATTAATTTTGGGCTGATCGACAACGTGGTGGTGTAAATTATAGAGACGGCGTGGGTCACCCTGAAGTAATGCCTAACGGCAGTTCCAAGGCGAGTCCACAGCAATGTCGATCGTGTAAAAAAAAAGAATCTTGTACTCCGATCTGTACATAGTATTCAAGGTATGAATACAGGGACATGTGCCCCCTATCAGTTTCTACTAAAGTAATTATTTTATTCAAAAAAGTTATTATAAAAACGCATTTGCTAAAACCTTTCAGAACTTTAGTACACTATTGTGTACTTGTCATTTTTGTATAAACAAAGTTTCATATAATAAAAAGTTAATGTACAAAATACCGTGTTGTATGATACAATTTAAATACAGATTTTTTATTTATTTATTTTGACTAGATTATGATCGGTCAAAATCGTTTTATTCAATTAACCAAATTTTGTTTGGTCAATTGACATCGTACCAACCCTAATCCATATTTTTTGAAAAAAGTTATCGGAATATAATATATTTAAATACAATAATAGTATGACTATTTAACTATGGCGGCCATTTGAACATTTGCACTCTGTTACGTTATTCTTCCACTCTATATTAAATTATGTTAATAACTTCTGAAGTACTATTTCAAAAATTGTTATCACCCAGACATTTTCTTAATTAGATTTTATGTTATAAGCTAGTTAAATACGTATGTTGCCATTTAATGAAATAAAATGATACCTATATATTAAAAAAATACTTAATAAATAAATAAAATGAAAATTTGGAAAAATAATAAAAAATGAAACATTATTAATAAAAAACCAAATTGGTATTTTGTCTGGAAAATCGATGATGGAATCAGTTTTTTGTGACAACCAAGAGAAAAGTATAAGGAAAAGAAAAGAAAACTGTGTATCGTGTTTATAGATTTGGAAAAAGCGTATGATAGAGAACTGAGAGAGTTTTTAAAGACGGTAAGATGATGCATGTTGTTCGCTGACGATATAGTGTTATAGGAGAAAATAGGGAAGACATTAATTAAAGGCTAGTGTTGTGGAGACCAGCCTTTGAAAGAAAAGGATTAATAATAAGTAGGAGTAAGACAGAGTATTTAAAGTAAGAGTTTGACAAAGGAGAACACAAGGTTGGTGAAATGAGGAGATCTGTGATAATAGGCGAGGACCTGATAACAGAGGTGGAAAGTTTTAAGTATTAAAGATCAGTTGTGCACCATACGCCATACATGGTAGTAAATTTTTTGGTGAGGCTAAATTAAAAATATTTCGTATGTTTTTTAAGGGAGCTGAGTTTATTGTTGCTGCTATTATACCAAAGTTAAAAATTGAAAACGCACTGTCTTCTTTATTGGTACTATGACTTTACAAGACAATAGAGCGGGAAGTTCTAGTCAGAGAATAATACAACAAATACTTTCGCTGCACAAAAAACAGACCTTTCTGATTAAACTGAATAATTATCTTTGATAATCGAAAAACATAATCATTCATTTTAAGAAATGTGAATATTTGATAACATTTATCTTATTATTACAATAAATTATACCTTATAATTATAACATATAATATTATAACATTACTTATAACATAAGTCTTTGTTAGAACTTTTCAAGTAGTCTACTGAAAACAATTCGGTATATCTATTCGAATATTTTTATATATATCATTTTAATAAATATACCTTAGAGTAAAATTAACAATTTGTCATTCACTATGCGATAGAAAATTTCATACTGATTAACTATTATAATTTATAAGCAAAATGCTTGTATTTCTTAGGAAATGTTCAAAAAAATTACCTAAAGCTTCAGTTGTTCTTACTAAATATTTAGAGCAAAACAACGAGCCACAGTGGACCTCATTTTTTGTAAAATATAGTGCTGTCATAAATGATCAACGAGGCAAATCGCATTTTAATTGGAAGGTAGGAAATAGCAACTATCATGTTTTACGATCTGGATGCTTTCCGTTCATAAAATACCATTGTACTAAAAGACCTTTTGAAAATTTAGAAACAGAAGATTCGCTTTTTTATTTATTGAAAATTATGAATTTAGGTAAGAAATTAGGACCCTGAAAAATATAAAATAAGTTCTAAATTTATGATAGTGTTTTAAATTAATATTGAGTGAATTGAATAATTTTTATTTCAGGAGTACCTTTATTATTATATGGTATTGTTGCTGTATTTATGATAAGTTATAAAGAAATAGTTCAAACTTCAGAAGGTCAAGTTGAAATTTATTTTCTTTTAAAAGAAGATAAAGGAGCTTCACATTAAAAAAATTCTAAATGAGAAAAAATGAAAGTTTTATATTACCTTAGTTATTCTTCTATTGTGAAAATAGTTTATTGATGATTAGTTGTGTTTATATAATTAAATAATAATTCTAAGCACATTAACTGAATTATGATATCAAAATTGATTAAAAAACTACTATTTTCTACATTTTAAAAATTTTTTCAAAAATTCTTCCTAATGGTTGTTATTGTTTTGAATTTTAAGCTTATTAGTTTATAATGTATAACAGTATTCTATTAACAATTATTAAAATAAATTAAATAAAAGTAACCTATTAATTTATTTGTTTGTCTGTATTTAAAACAGCTTTTCATTACTACTGTTTGAGTTATTTTCTTGGTATTTAGAATATTCTTTTTCCATAGCTTGAATCATAGATTTGTTTACAAGTAGTATCTATGCAACTATCTACAAAATTTACAAATTTCAAGTACTTGGCTTCTCAAGTATACAGGTGAAATAGATCTAACTGAAACTCTAAATACAATTAAAATTTCACTGGATCTAAATCTTGTTAAAAGCATATTTTGAATTATTTATTTTTAATTAATGAAAAACATGAGTTTTCTAAAATATTTTTAAAATTTCAATATGACTGTATTTTTACAAAAAATTTTGTTGGATTAATAACAAGATAATATATATACAGTGGTTATAAGCGAGGTTGGGTTCATCGTAATGGTTTATATATATTAAGCATACTTCATGCATGCTACATACTCCCTCTACGTATTAAAATACTGTAACTCAATAAGTATTTTCCCTAAAGTTATTAATAAACTAAAATTGTTTGTTAGAAAAGCTCTAAAAAAAAATATCTATTTTAAAATAAAAAAATGTATCATTATTTATTTTTCACATTTAAAATTCTGAATGAGTAAAATAATACTTTAACTATAATGAAAATATTTTTTGTATTTCAACAATTTTATTGTTATAGGTAAGCTTTTTTTAAAACAATCTCAAAAAAATTTAATATTAGTTTCAAAATACTCATCATTGATAAAATATTAAAAAAAATTAGTATATATAATATTTGCTATGGATTTTTATTTTATGATAACAATGAATAGTTTATTAATTATTAATAATTAACTGTAGTCAATAATTAGAAAAATAATATATGTATTTAAAATATTAAACTTTATTCACCTTAAAATTAATCTAAATATATATATATATATTTATTTTTGAGAATCATATAATCTTCTGCATTTTTCTTACCAATGATTACAATAAACTGAAAACATATTAACAGTCTCAAAAAAATTTCTCATAAAATTTTTTATTTATTTTTTAATTAATTAGATTATAATATTTTTTATCATTTATGTACAATTCAATCACTTATTGATGTAAGGACACAACTCTAAAGATTAAATTTTAGATTTTTTATCAGAAAAAATGTATATATTTTTAAATCATTCTTTTTTACCTTATTCTATTAAATCTATAAATCGTAAAATAGTTTATTTTATTTTAAACTTAAACTAAGTTTTTTTTTTTTATTTTTAAATTGGGTCCTAGTTTCAATTAGTGATTTAATTTTTTTTCACAATTACTCTATAATTGATTAAGAGAAAATATGAATGTAATAATAATTAAATGGTTATTTTTCTAAATATAATTCAATGGAATAAAGATTGACAATATATAATACTCCTAATAATTTTATAATATTTTACAAAAAAAAAAAAAAACAATAGTTTAAGTAGTTTGAATAATATATAGTTTGATATTAAAATCATAAACAATAAACTTTAACATAAACAAAATATATGCTTTTTCAAAATTACAGTTATCAAACTAATGTTTTTATAAATCATATTATTGTAAATGATTAAATATGTTTGCTACCATTTTAGTATTGCAAAAAATATAAATTATCATATAATATTAATTATATTCAGCTAACATAATAAATTTCATAAAAAAGCAATATTAAATTAAAATTATATAGATATATAATAAATTAATAATAATTAAGCAACAGTAAAATAATAAGTCACAGTAAAATTTGAGTTACAAAGTTTTTTATTTGATATTTTAAGTTAACTTTTTACATTTAAAGTTATAGAAGTTTTTATTTACAACTAGTAGTGACATTTCATTTATCTTAGTTACATCTAAATAAATTTCATAAATAAAAAAAGTATATTTACATGGTTTACAAAGAATTTTATAATAACTAAAACAAATCTATAAGTCGTAGAACAATTAATTTTTAATATACCCATCACAGCCATTCATGTAACCTTAATTTCCAAAACATCTTTGCATTAATAAGTAAAAAATAAAAGTTGTTTTTAATCAATACAAGTAATTGTATAACAAAACAGAAAATAATACATAACTTCTATCAAAACAATAAAGTGGGTTTATTTAATAAAATAATTCAGAAAATATCAATAATTTGAGTAATAATGTACAATACCTTCAAATATGAAACACTAATTAAACATATAATTTATATCTGATTGTACCACTAGTAATAATTTATGTAATTTTTAATTATTTTGTAAAAAAAAGAAGTTTAAATTAATGGAAGACACAAAATTAAAATTAAATGTCTTAATAGACATTATTTAATAATTATTAGTTATAAAATTATATTGAAGTTGGACAGAAACATTAAGTATGAAATTTAACTCTAGATTATTATATTTTTGAAGAATAGAAAAGTGTCTATGGCACTATAAATTGTAATTAATATTTTTAAATGCAATAAATGGGAACATTTGAACACTTAATAAAACTGTTAATTGAAAGCTTTATTTTCAAGGTATTATTAAAAAACTAATATTTTAAATTGAATCAGTATGAGTAATCAATCAAATTATAATAAATTAACAATACTCTAATAATAATTGGTTTAATCATAACTATTTTTAATACAGTATAAATAAATTTGCATGACTACAAAAGAAAATATTTTAAGAAAAAAATAAAATGTGTGTAAAATTAAAAAAATTGTTTTATTATTTAAATAATAAAAAGACCTACATTTATTCATATTATATAATACAAAATAAAGGCCTCCAATTTTGAAGTAGTTTATTATGATTTCATTATCAGTTTAGACTATATAAAAATAAAAACACTTCTACCCTTGTTACATTAATTTTTCATTTTTTAACAACAGTCTAAATTTTAATGATAACTTAGATGAAGATGTGAAAATAATTTTAAAAAAGCTATATCTCAAAAAGACATACTAAACAATTTTGTATATAATAATATTAATACAGGTATATTAAAAATAACCGTTGAATATAATTGTTTATAAATGTTGATTAACATTTTGGTCATTACTTATTTATTAAAATTTGCAAATACAGCCCAAATAACATCATTTGTAGGACCTTTCATTGACTCTACTTCTAAATCCATATCGCATAACTCTCTTAATCTTCTAGTTGCCAATTCATAGTCCTCATCATTGAGAGGAGAAAATGCACCTTCTAATACATCCGAGGCCTGAGCTAAAAGTAACAACGATAAAAGCCGTTTATCCATTCGATGTGGATCGTTAATCCATCGAGATAATACTGCATCTTGTACCTATTAATAAAGTGTTTAAAATTTTTAATTTTTAAAAATTATACGTTTGTTTTAATAAAAATTATTTTTATTTAATAATATTTTAACCTTCTTGACTAGTCTAAGTTTAGCTTCATTATCTGTCAATGGATGAGTAGTCATATCAAATAAAAGAAAGTTTTGTTTTTCAGTTGTAAGAACACCTTTTTCTACTAAATTTTTTGCTAATCGTTCTCTCACATTCTTTAACTGGTATTTAATTTTTAAAGGATTCCAAGTTTCACCTTATAGTAAAATTAATATAAAAATATTTATGATTATAACTTTTAAAAAACGATTTATATTTATAAACGAAATACCGCTTAAGTATTCAATCCAACTTTGTACAGTTTCAGGTGGGTTAGTTTCTTTGATATGTTTTAAAGCTTCATCAAGAAGAACATCACCTGTTGGAGTATCATTTTTTATTAACACTTTCCTTGTTTGTAAACTTTTTCGTCGCATTCCAGCTTTTTCTAATTCAATTCTTTGTCGAAGAGCAAGTTCAATAAGTATACATCCCCGTAAACCTGATGAAATTGAATCATTCCAAAATGAAGTGTAACCCTAAAATACATAACTAATGTAATCATGCTGTACATTCAATCAAATAGATCTCCATCTTTTAAGACACATATAATGTCCCTTAACTTTTTTAACACTATAACAATTTTAAAATAAAAATAGGATAAAATGTATTTTATTAGTGATAATGTGATCAAATTGAAGGGTTTTCTGACAGAGTATTTTTAGCTTTGATACGAAGCTTAGAAGGTATTAATTTAGAATGATGTTTTTTTTTGTGGCAGTAACCACTTTTCTTCAGCTCTCACCGATCCGAACCTAGTAGAAAAAATTACCATCAAAATTGAAAAAGTTTCCCTTATTCCCCATAAATAGGGGAAATCTCAAAAAAAAATTACAAATTTAAAAATCAGTAATTTTTGACATTTTTAAAATTTTTTTTTACTTAAAACTGCCATAACTTTTTGAAAAATAAATGAATAGACACAATTTTTCTTTCAATAAATTAGATATTTACCTATTATTTGGTATATATTTTTTTTAAATCTGACCCTTCACCTGCCTCCAGGGGTAATTCAAAATGATAATTTTTTTTTTTTATAGATACCTTAGGTATTTACCTATCATTTAATATATTTTTGTGAACATTTGATGTTTACATAATCATGTAAACCTAACATACATGGGGATTTCAAAAAGGCAACTTTTTCACAAAAAATGAACTTCATTAACTCAAATTTTGAATATGGTCTGGAAATACTGATATATATATATTATAAATTAAATCTTATGTAATATACTTTAATATGGAAAAAAAATTCGAACTTTATTTTGTCTTTATGTGTGAAAATGGCTACCGTATTCAAAAATATGCTATTATTGTGTTAAAATTCTCGGTTTTTTTTATAATTAGTAATAATATCAAAACTTAGAAGTGATAGAAAAAGTTTAATTTCAGTTTTGTAAACAGTGAGAAAAGTTTATTTAGAAAAGTATATTTTTGATTACGATGAAAGTTCCTTGTAGGATTCCTTGTATAATTAAAGAAATAAGAGTTTATGTTGCTTTTGAAATAATCTACCAATTTCTTGGAATTATAAACTATCTACAGATTTGCATCAAAGTATTTCTTATGATAGTGATTTTAATCACTGTCAGATATCATCTATACTTGTCCCAATTATCCCACATCCATACAGTGTCGTGACCCAACTGTGTTATTGTTTATTGTATTTAAATTTTGTTTTAATGTGGTGTTTATATTTAATAATTAAAATACATGTTACATTATTAAACTGATACGAAGGCTTATACAAAATGTTGGAGTTGAGAAGTTTTTTTAATATATAAATGTTATCATCATAAGTGAAGCAATGAGATACCAGGAATGTATCTGATGAGCCAGTTATCATATCATATCTCAAGGTCAATGTACCTAAATAATAGAATGTTCTCTATCTAAAAAATATATATTTAATAACAACGAACTGTACTGTTTCCTGTTCTATCACAATTTCTTTATGAATTCCAACTGAAAAATTATTTATTGCAAACCTGTTTGATGAAGATTGTAATAAAATACTAGCATTAGGTACAATATTGTGAATGATTGGATTATTTATAGTCGATTAATAAATATTGTTTTCAATTGAACCATTTGTAAGAATTATGTAAAAGTTATAAAAAGTTACAAGATTAATAATACCACTTACCCTACAAAATATTTGTAATTTAAATTTGTATGTTTATTAATATAACTTCCAACATTTTTTTGCATATTAAAAAGTTTTTTTTGTTACCTGAACAATTAAAAAAAATGTTTTTGTTAGGTAACTGGCTAATTATTTTTTACATTTTTTTTTTGTCAAAAAATAAATTTGGTTTTTTTTCAATGAAATTTTATAAGGTGACAAAAAATATTTCTTAAATATAATTATTTATTTATTTATTTCTTAAAGATAATTTAGAAACAAAGCCATGTTTATTTTTTTTTTTTTATTGTTCAGGAGACAAAAACTTTTTAAAATACAAAAATAATTACCTTAGATTTAAATGATAAATGGATTTAATTTTACTTGACAGCAAAATATATTATTATGGTGACATTCTTATTGTCTAGTTTACTATTTAAAACTGGTATACTACATAAAATATGGAGATAATTAGCTGGAGATATTGCATTACATTGCCAATCTTTAATTTTAAATGTAGAATATATTAGTGTTGCATTTTATTGATATACAAAACGTCAATAAATTATTGATACAGTGAAATCTTCTTTCAACAGAAAATTATTTTATCCTCAGCAGTACCATTAAAAAGAAGTCTCACTGTATTAATTAAATCTGTTATAATTGAAAGAGACTATTATTACTTGAACAGCAATTGAGTGACATTAATTTTCTTATTTATAGTTGTACATTTATATAAAAAGAACTGAAATAGAGAACTTGTAAAAAAAAATTAACTTATATTGATTTAAAATTTATATTATACATTTTTATTTATAACCATTTAATACCAAAAATATTTTATTAAATATTTTTTAATATTAATTTTGCATCATTTATTTTGTTCAAAATAATACACCCCTTAATAACGTACAATGTAATTTAAGCTTATCAATTTATATTGGTGTTTTTCAATTATTACTTATAAATTATAATTTTGTATTTTTATAATTGTTTTAATTAAATTTTCTTAAATATATACTATTATTGTTAGTTTAATAATTTGTAAAGTATCCATAATATTATCTTTTAATTATGATAATTAAAATTTACCAAAATTAGTATATAATGTTTAACATTTAGCGTGTTAACCAAAAATAATAATTCAGTAAAATTAAAATGGAGGTTATCACTCCACTAATTATGAGCCACTTTGACCACTATATATACACCTCTTATTATTGTCACTTTCAATAATTAAGATTGAGTTGATTAAAATCTATATTATATATATTATATACTCTTGAATATTATAAATTAAAAGTATAGGTATCAAACAAATGTAGATTTGAAGTAGAATTAAAATATTCATTATAATTTAATTTATGATACGTGTATTAAAATTTATAAAATTCTAACCATGTGTAACTATTATTAAATAATTATAAACTTGATTTACTCACTTCTTTATCTTTAAGACCGAGCAATAAAACTTCTTCCATTAATGTTAGTCGTGTTTCTTTAGAATCACCATCTTCTAAATCTTCCTCATAATCAGGTTTCTCCGCAGAATGACCATTTTCTCTAAACACACCATCTGTATTATCCCTGTTAACATTTCGACGCTGCACAAGTCCATCTGCTCGACTTCTTAACATGGTCTTATTATGAAAGATAGAATCAATATACAAATATTGAGATGGCTACTAAAAATTAGGCAACTAGTAGAAAGTTACTTCACTTGAAAACTCGCGTACAGCTGATAAGATATACTTTGTTGACGTCTACAATCTTACAATAATTTTTGACATCCCTTTTTCTAACATCAGATTAAATATTTTTCAAATTATATTTAGAACTGCACTCTTATAAATTTAACAAATTATCAGAAAAATATGAGAAATTATAACTATAAACTTTAATACGAAATAAAATATCAAATAAGGAGTACGGAATAAATGTAGACAATATCAAACGATTCATGCGTATGAAATACGGACTACATTCATTTCAAATTGATAATAGGGTATACGAGAAATTATTCGAAATGCAAATACTGTAATTCATAGTATATAGCAATATCTTGTTTTAGATGCGTGTTATTATATTCTGAAAATTAAAATATCACATAATTTATGTAATGAACTATTTTATTAAGCACAAATTAACAATTTCTGTAAATACAATTTTTTTGGTAAATAAAGGTTAAAAAAGCGACGTTAAGGTCCAACGTCACTTTTTATCAACTTCCTATCAAAAAAAATTTGTAGTTACTTAACTATAAGTCTAGATAAAAGACCTGACGGAGAGTTTCCATATTTCATGCCTCAGAATTTTATTAATTTGGTATAACTTTAATTATGTACCTTTTCCAAATGCAAGAGTGGAAAGAGGATAACATATTTCTCCTAATGTTACTTTAGTCGTCTAAAAGGACCTTCTTATTAACACTAGTAGGTTTAATGAATTTGATTACTCTCTTAAAAAACACCGTCACTGGCTTAATGCATTATAATAATCATTAATATTTATTATTTATTAAAAAGAGTAAAAAAAAATAATCCTTCAATTCTTAATTTTTTAGAAAGACGACTTATATAAAATTTTGAAAAAGTATAAAAAAAAAAAATTGAAATTTCTCAAAAGCAAAAATTTTATATGAACTATAGAGAGATGCGGGGTAAATGTAAACGAATGAGGAAATTTTAAATTCATTTTTTCTATAAGAAAATTAAGCAGATTTTATTTTTAATTGAAAAGTTTTGGTATTTTATGTGTTGCTATGATATTTAATGTAAGTTCAAAATAAAAACTTGTGTATTTATTTCAAAAATGCTTTTAGATTTATCCCACTTCAACCTGTTTTAATTTTTGAAAACTTATCTTTATTTATTATAAAATATTATTAAATATTGTATTAGAATTCAATAAAAGCTCATTTTAAAACAATAATTTTTTATTTTAAAATTTGAGAACATCTTAACATAGTCAAAAGTTTTGACTCAAAACTATAATCATTTTTTTTATTCAACATTCGAAGGCTAGGTATAGATTCAGAAAAATATTTTGGAAAAGGTCATTTTATTATACCTGTAAAAATTAATAATTAAAATAATACTCATTGTTTTTTTAAGGAAAAGTTATCGAAAATAAACTCGATGAACAAATAATAATGGTCATTTATTACTATTATTCAAGAACAGAGGTATTACTTTTAATCGTTTAAAAATTATACAAATAATATTTATTTTAATCTATAAAAATATTTTTTAAGATATATTATATAATGTTAAAATATATATATATATATATTATAATAAATCATATATTTAGATTAACAATCATAATAACTGATCAAAAAAATTATTGTTAATTTTTGTGCGAATTTCATTTCAATAAGTGTCTACCTGTAAAAGAGCGACAATCTACGTTTCACTTATTTTTCTCTAATAATCTCCCTGATGTAATATCATTATATTGGTAAGTGTTATTGTTTTGTGGTTACTTACTAAAATAGAGTTTAGGTAATTCTTATAATGATTTTTTATATCTAAAATCGTGATAAGTAATCAAAAACGACAAATTTTTTCCAAAATAATAAAAAAAAAATAAATAACATAAGCATACACTAAAACTACAGTATTTTTATAGCTCATGAATTCGTAAACAAAACTCGTAATCAAAATTATTCAAAAATATGTATAAGTGACACTGTTGATACGTATATTAAGAGTAATATCTTATGAAAATTTATAAAAAAATTGTTTAAATGTTAAAAATATGAAATTGGTATGTTTTAAATTAAACATTTACTAATAATTTATCACATTTTATATTTAAACTAATTTATATTTTTGATTTTAAATATTTAAAGATTTTCAAAATGGTGTAAAAATAGTGATCAATTAATATTAAAATGGTGTATAACATTCCACCCAGTTTTGATTTCGATTTTTGGAATCAAAATAATGATTCTGTTGTTGAAGTTACATGTCTCATGCCTAATAGTGTTTCTATACCACTAACAGTATCAAAAAGTACTTCTTTACATGAGTTAAAAGAGGTTAGTTATTTTTATTATAAGAGTTAATTTACTTTTATGCATTTTAAAAATTATTATCTAGGAATTATGGGAAGAAGCTGTAAAATATCCCTTACATGGGATGCTTCATGACTCGAGCAGCTACAGTATATTTTATGTAAATGCAATGGCTCAGCGTGAAATGCTTCTAGATGAAAATAAAAGACTCTGTGATGTACGACCATTCTTAGCTGTGCTCAGTATTGTAGAGCGCCAAGAAGATAAAGCTGATAATGTACTTAATGCTCAAATCAGTAATCTCATTGGCAAAGGTGTGTTAAAATTAGTATTTATAGTAAAATAAATTGTAAGATATTAAGTAGGAATTTAACAATTTAGATTGTAGAATAGAACTTAAAGATTGTTTTTACTAAAATTATGTTGGTATTAAAATTATTAGAGTTGTTATTTAAGATTGTGATCAGATTACAAACAGTAGCTTACAAGAGTACATATAAAATTTTAATTAAAAAAAATATATAAAATTTTGTCTGCAAAACAAACTTAAAATTAATTTGAATTTTAGGCTTAATGGAATTTGACTCTTTAAAAAGTTCAGAAGTTAATCAATTTCGAGGAAAAATGAAAACTTTAGCTGATCAAATGCAAGCTGATCGCCGAAGGCAGAGTTGGTTAGAACGATTACTATACCAATTTGCTCCACGTCTTGCAGCTTCAACATTATCATCTAATGTTTTACCAGCAACCGTCACTAGAAGATTAAGGGATGAAAATTTTTCAATTGTTGTGAAGTTTGATAATACTGAGGTATAAAAAATATGTGTATATTATACATATTTATTTATCATTTTAGTTCATATGTTAGGGTAAACTCTAATAATATATGGTGTGTTCAGTAAATAAGGAAACGGGTTTCTATTATTCTAATGGTTTGTAATAATTGACCTATTTCCTTACTTACTAAACAGTGTATATATTAGAGTGATGTTATAAACCATAATTTTTGTGATCAAACCGAACATTGCAATTATATTATTAAAGGTGAACCAAATATTATTTTGATTTTTTTTAGTAAAACATATATCAAAATATTATGATTATGCTCCATACATACTTTGTGTATTCAAATGCTTTTAACCTGGTGGGACATCTTTTTTTTTTTAAATATTTTCTTTACAAACGTCAATAGTTTATTTTCATTATACTATGTTGTGGACTATTTCTCATATCCATTTATGACAATGAGGCATATATAGTAAATGTTTAGTTTTTTCCTTGTGTTCTCTGAGAGTAATTTCAATATGATTATTTTACTCATTGCATGGTATCCTTGGTTTTCTACACTTATTCTGGACTTAATCTTATTATGCAAATTAATTTTATGATTTATATTAGCACTAAAGTATTTAAAAATTTTTTAAGGCCATATTTTTAAGTATTTCAATGTCTTCCCTATATGCTAAGAAAATTTTGCACACCAGTACTTTCATTTCTCATTTTCCTGCATGTATATTTGACTTTATATATTATATTACTATTATTTGACTTTTTCAAGAGCTAAGTTGAAGAGTGCAAGAGATAATATGTCCCCTTGTTTAAATTTAGACTCAATTCCATAAATTTTATAAAATAAAATCATCTAAGAAAATAGTTGTTGAATAAGACTAAATTTGTTATTTTAATTTCAACTTTTTTTAAAAAAATTTTTGTTAATTTTAATTTTAATTTTACTTACTTTATATTAAGATAAATATTATCTAGTATCTTTTGTTGATATGTCTGTAAATAAAATAATTTTGTTTTATTTTAGACTACATTTACTTTCAATGTGGGCCTTACAACCACACCAGATCAATTGATGATGCAAATTTTAAATAAGCGTGCAATGATGTTAAAAACTAGAAATGAAAAATGTTCTGATTTCACTCTTAAAGTCTGTGGAAGAGAAGAATATATTGTTGGTCCACATCCATTAATTGATTTTGCATATGTTCAGGATAGTTTGTCTCAAGATCTCAATCCTATTTTGATAGCTGCTTCCAAAATGAATGTTCCAGGTTAGTAACTATTGTTAAGCAATGTTGTTTGAAACATAATATATATAAAAATTTGTTAATTATTTTTTTATAGTTCCAGAAGAATTATATGTAGATTATATTGATACAACAGAGCAAAATAAAACAAGAACTACATTAACATTGAGAAAAAAAACAAAACATAAATTGTCATTTGAAATTGATGAAAAATTTAAATTTAAAGTTAACTATATAAGTAAATTGAATTGTGATGTTACTAGAACTGTTGAAGTAGGAATAGAAGCAGCTTTGTTTCATGGTGGTAAAGCATTGTGTGAATGTGTTAGGACATCTGAAAAGATTGTTAATAATGGTGATTGCACATGGGATGAAGAATTAATATTTGATATGTCTGTTGCTGATATACCACGTATGGCACGTTTGTGTTTAGTAGTGTATGAAGTATCAAAGACTTCTAAAGGTTTAAGAACTAGAAGAATTAAAGAATCTAAACAAGTAACTGAAAAAAAATTATTTATTGGATGCATATTTATTTTAATAATTAATTTTAGGAAATGTTTGTAACACCAATGGACTGGGTAAATACTACTGTGTATGACTTTAAAAATCAGCTGAAAAGCGGATCAATTACTTTGTATATGTGGACTTATGCAGATGATATGCAAAATGAAGATTTATTGCATCCTTTAGGCACTGTTGTGTCTAATCCAAACATTGAACAAACAACTGCTCTTACAATAACATTTCATAGGTTAATATTATGTTTAGTAATAAAAATTTAATTTAAAAATATACTTTTGAATATTAATTAAAAGTTTAGTAGGTAAATTGTCGTTTCTTCTAAAATATAATTGGAATTCATAAAATCCTCCTATGCATTTATCATCTCCAATGAAAATGGTCATAACTGACGTTTTACATTTGTTCAAAAAGGCTTTTTAAAATTTTAAACGACTTATATAAAACTTTTTGTTTTATAATATTTGATCCAATTAGTAAAAAAAAAACATACTGTTATTTTTTGGGAATATATAAAAAATATGTGGATGAATATGAATATGTGATCAGAAATTTGGAAATATGTAGTTATAATCTTTTTCATTAGATGTGGCAACATAAGCTGTGATATTAATATTTTTTAATTTTCAATTATTATGCCCTAATTAGTTTGCCCATGTTCATATGTTAAGTTTAAGCTTATTAATGTTTAAATTAATTGTATTTTATGTTACAAAAAACTATCAATATCCTATTTATAATCTAGTTTAAGTTATAGGAAGATCTTAACATTTTTTTTTAAAGTTTGATATATAACTTAATGTAACAGTAACAAATATAGTTAATTTTTGTTTAATAAATACTTAAGTTATTTATTTTAATACTTAAATATTTAAAATTTTTTGTTTTTAAATTAATTCATGTATCTTGATTAAAAACATTTAAAATAATATATTTATATTGTGTATTAGCTTAATTTGATTAAAAATTAGTAATTTTTTTGTTCTTTGAATAATTAATCATAGTTATCAACTTCCTGAACATATGGTAGTTTACCCAAGCTTAGAAAAACTACAAGAATATGCTGAAAAAAAGGGAAGAGAAGATTTAAACGATCAAGCGTCTGGAGATTCTCAAACATTAAAAAACTATTTGGATCAAATAAGGTATGCAATTTATTAAAAATAATTTAATAATCAGAAAAATAGTATATCTTATATGTTGTATTATTATAGAACAATGGCAGAACGTGGAGAACCTTTGGACGAAATGCATGAACAAGATCGTAAAAAACTGTGGCGCCATAGATATCATATATTGCAATCAGTACCTGGATTATTAGCAAAACTATTAGATTGTGTTGAATGGGGTATTCGTTGGGAAGTAGCAGAAGCTACTACTATTGTTTCTAAATGGCCTTTATTAGGCCCACAACAAGCATTAGAACTTCTCGATTATGCTTATGCTGATCAAGTAGTGCGTAGTTTTGCTGTAAAGTGCTTACAAAAACTGAGGTAGGTTACTAAAAAAACAGTAGTAATTTTCAAAGAAAGGCAAAGTGCTGCCTTCTTTTAAAATGAGTAGGAAAAAATTAAAAAAAAAAAACATTTAGCAGTTGTTAAAATATCTTAAATTTAATAAATAAAATTTTTTTGAAATAACTAAAATTACCTATCTTGATAAGTGATAAGTACAGTTTAAACGATATAGAGTTCGGTATACTAAACAATGGTAAAAATACTTGAGTGGAAACACTTAAGTAGGGAAACTGAATTACAATAATTTGGTATGAAGTGAGCAGAATGGACCAATAGATCTAAGTGCATGCGGAGTTCTGGCCACCTTCTTAATTACTAAAACTAAAATTACACAGTGGAGAAACACGAAATTGTCACCTCTAAAGAAGTCTATATATACATGCAGATGCACACTAACGTACATGTAAAATTAAATAATTTGTGTATTAATTATCTTCAAACAATGTAAGTCAATTGCAGAACAATTTTAGTCAACTTGATGTCAGAAAAAGAATAGATTATCTGATAAGACAAATTTATTTAGTTAATTTTTGAGATCTATTTTTTATTTATGTCATTAAACTTCATATAATAAGTATAAACATTTTATGAATGATTCTTTTATATTATTAAAAATTTTGAATTACAAATTATTTTATTTTATTATTCACAATATTAACAACTGTATTTTATTTATAATATAGTATTACAAACATTAATCTGACGTTTTACTTATTAAGTAACTTAACTAACTATTTAAATTTTAAAAAAGTCTAGCAAGTTCATATTTACTTAAAAAAAATTAGTGATGGTAACTAATTACTTTGTAAATCATTTTTAAAGATACATTTTTCTAGAGTAATTTATTTATTCTATATTCATGTTTTTCTTTTTTTAATTTATTCTAGAGCATATAAATAAGAAGTATATGAGTCAATTTCTCTATCACTTTAAGTACTCTCCCGTTTGAGTTAATGCCTCCTCAGAAAATTTATCCCTAAAACCGTAGTTCTTTAGCCACTGCTAAAAAATGATTTTTGTGTTTTCATGTATCATTGAATATTTTACTTTTAGTGATGAAGACCTCTCTTTATTTCTTCTACAACTGGTTCAAGCATTAAAACATGAATCATATTTATGTTGTGATTTAGTAGAATTCTTACTCACAAGAGCATTACAAAATCAAAAAATTGGTCATTATTTATTTTGGCATCTTAGGTAATTAATGCTTTTTATAATGTAAAACAACTATTTAATCATTTTTTTTATTTTGTTGATATGTTTATGGATGTATCTACATGAAAACGTAGATATATCCGTTAACATTTCAAGCAATCCGTCAATTCACAAAAGCTTCAACACATTAATATATATTGTTTGTAGATCAGAAATGCAAGTAGCATCTGTGTCAGTTCGATTTGGTCTCATGTTAGAAGCATATTGCCGAGGATCCATTGAACACATGAAAACTTTAATACGTCAAATGGACTTTTTGGAAAAACTAAAGAAGACCACCGAGTTAGTAAGACAACGCCGAGACAAAGAAAAAGCACGATCTTTTTTACAAGAATATTTTCAAGAAGGTCATTGTATTGAAGCTATGTCAACTGTTCATAGTCCTCTAGACCCCAGCTATAAATGTAAAAAAATCAGGTATACAATTTTAAGTTGATGTTGAAGTTGGTGTAAGTCTTCTCTTCTTGATTATTGGGAATTAATTTTTGTCATTAAAAATAATAATTAAGTTAGCAATTATTCAAGTTAAGATAGTATTATTTGCTTGATGTTACATCATAGGATATTATGACTGTTTAGTACTTATCTTTAAACATTGAAAAACTAGATCTTAATTTCTATTAAGGTTAAATTTTTATTTTATAAATATGACTGATGTACTTAAAAATCAACATCTCCATAATTATCAGTACTCCATAAACTGTTTGTTTTGTAATGGAAAAAAAAATCATTGTCTTAATCTACATTTAAATTCATGTAATTTCAATGTTTTTAAAATTGTACTATGTTTTTTTTTCTTTAAATCAATAACACCATTGTTTATTTAAACAATTCTAATTTTAACAACTAAATTACTGCTATTACTATTTTAATTCTACTAAAATATTACTACTACATGCATAGACATACATAACTCCTTTTCTTTATATTTATATTTTTAATACAATTTATTTATTGAAACTTTTTTAATCTTTAGAACTGAAAAATGTCGTGTAATGGATAGTAAAATGAAACCATTATGGATAGTGTTCGAAAATGATGATGCCCATGGAGATGACATTTATGTAATATTTAAAAATGGTGATGATTTAAGACAAGATATGCTTGCATTACAGATGATACGTATTATGGACAAATTATGGAAAAATGAAGGACTTGATTTAAGGTAACTATGTGTTTACATAGTTATGATAATAATTATATAATTGGAATTTGGAATATTTACAACAATATTAAAAAGTAAACAATAAAAAATTTTAGAAAATAATTCTCATTTGCAGAATGAATCCATATCAATGTATTTCTACTGATAATCGAGTTGGTATGATTGAAGTAGTATTAAATGCTGAAACTATAGCAAATATACAAAAAGAAAAAGGAATGTTTTCTGCTACATCAGCATTTAAAAAAGGATCACTCTTAGGTAATTAATTTTTTTATTTTTTAACTTTTTTTTTGCACTAAGACCTATAGGTCCATCATGCACACCTACAGAATTATATTAATTCAGTTTCTCCACCAAAATATTGAAGCCATTATTGAATACCTAAAATTATATATAAGACGTCCTACTACACTGCACCTATATATATTCAAAGAGTCCTGTCATTCAAAAAAAGTTTTTTACCCAAATGTTTATATCTTAATGTGGTTAGTGTATCACATTTACACAAAATGTTAAATGTATCTTCTTCTTTTGTTCCATACTTCCTGCACAGTGGTGATTGTCACTCCCATTGTGTAAGAATGCTTAAGCAGATGATCATGTCCTACCAGTAGTACAGTCAAAGTGCCTATTTGATATCTTGTTATGCTATTAAGATCCTTCAGTAATAGACCGGTAGCCTTGATGAACATTTTTGATTGTTTAGTTATCACTAAGTAAAATCATATTTTCCTGTTCTCTACTTCAATTATTGGGTAGAACTTTGAGGAATTGTTCATTGAGTACTATTACTGGTTCTGGTCTAACATAGGTGTTTTCTGCATCTTTCTTTGCCTGTTTTTTCATTGCTAATCACACTTCTATATCCTAGTACCGTCAGTTTACATAAGTTGAATAATAACTTTTTCAGTGGGCCAAGATCCCAATTAATTTAATTGTTGATATTTTTGAACATTTCTATTGCTTCTCTTATAATAAGTTCTTTGTAATTATTTGTATTTTTAATTAGTTTTATGGTTTTAATGGAGTGATTATGTGTTAATAAATGTTCAATCACAGAAGACTATTAGTTATTAAATAGTAAATAGTTATATATTTTGTCTTTCCATTAAAATTTTTGTTTTTTTGAGATATGGCATTATTCTTGTTAATAAGTGATTTAGTAAAATCAGTTTAATTTATTTATTAATACCCTGAATCCACTTCAAATTAAAAAATATATTAATAATAAAATAATTAAAATTTGGAGTAAATATTTAATAATGAAAAGCAACCTATTGGGCATCCAAGACCAAAGGAAAGTTCTTTTTGGCCTGGTTTTTATAATTTAGGTTGATTTACCAGAATTTTCTTATTTTTTGGGGCATTTTACTTTATGTGAAAGTATGTAAGTCTAATTAATTTTATCTTACCAAGACAATTTTATCATCTATAATGATATGCTGACATTTATTATTAAATAAAATAAATTATTTTCAGCTTGGTTAAAAGACTATAATCAAACTGAACAATCATTACAAAAGGCAATTGAGGAGTTTACTTTTTCATGTGCTGGATATTGTGTTGCAACCTATGTACTAGGCGTTGCTGATAGACATTCTGATAATATCATGGTTAAGAGAACTGGACAAGTGAATATTGCTACTCTTAGGTTTTTTGCTAAAGAAAAATATATTTTTTATTTATTTGTTAATGTAAATATAGTTATTTCATATTGACTTTGGCCACATCCTTGGTCATTTTAAAGAAAAATTTGGTTTTCGTCGAGAGCGTGTGCCTTTTGTATTAACCCATGATTTTGTGCATGTTATCAATAAAGGACAAACAAAAAAAGAAGCAAATGAATTTCAGATGTTTCAGAACTATTGTGAAAAAGTAGGTTTTCATGGTTTGAATCTATGAATATTCTAACTAAAACATTTAGATAATACTCATAATTACTTAAAAAAACTATTATTTATCAATAACTTAACTTTAGAATAATTTATTGTTTACTAGGATAAATTATATATCTATTTGATAAAGTCTTTTTAATTTTTAACAAATAGAAATTCTTTTTTTACTGTTTGATATTTAATATTTAAGAGGTAATATTGTATTATTTTAGGCTTTTCTAATACTACGACGTCATGGTTCACTCATTCTGTCCCTTTTTGCTATGATGATTTCAACTGGTTTACCAGAATTAGGTTCTGAAAAAGATCTTAATTATCTACGAGAAACACTTGTTCTTGACCTATCAGAACACGATGCCACATTACATTTTAGGTCAAAATTTGATGAAGCTCTTGGAAATTCATGGAAAACTTCACTGAATTGGGCCTCTCACAATTTAGCTAAAAACAACAAACAATGACAAAAATTTCTGATCGGCTTAGAGCTAGCTATATTGCCTTAAAAATGGTCTGAGCTAAATGGTGTAGAACTCAACTATACTAGACAAAACAAATGTAAAAACATTTTTCATTTCTGTTAAACTTATGTCATAAGTAGTTAGAAAAAAAAATTGATAATATCATGGTTACCCATTTTTCATTTATATAAATATACTATAAAAAACTTTTTTTTTGGAATAGAGCTAAAAAATGAAGTATATAAATTCATTTACATGTATATATTAAAAACTTTATATATAAAGTTTTATATTTTTTAAATAAAATCTTAAAGAAGTACTTTAAAATTATTATATTCATAGTATCAATGATAATTATTCACCAGAACAATACCATTTACAAATTTGAAACATTCATTTTTATATAATTGCTATTGATTATTATGTTTTTATATTCATATTAATTAGTAATTATAATGATATGACTAAAATTAAAGTTTGATATTTGTTTTAAATTATATAATATATTGTGTTACAGCTATTTATTTTCATTACATTAAAAATACGGAAATAAATTTGTGATATTTATTAATAATATAAATAATGACTTTAACTATGTGTAATAAATGATATTGAATTTTCTAAAATTTTATTATTTAATATAATCATAACTAAAAAATTATGTTATAATAGGAAATTTTCCGTTATCAATGATATGAAAATATTTTCATATAATAGGAGGTTAAACTTTTAGAATGTGTCCAAACATTTTTCGTTTATTTATTTGCATAAATATTCATATATTCTTGGTTATGATCAAAACAAATTTTTAATGTTATCATTTACAATTATTTATAAAAACAATATTTTAGTAAAATATTTTTATATGTTTTTGATGTATTAATAAAGTTTATAAATATAGATTTAATATTTTATAACTGAGTAGGTTTGCAATTTTTATTTTGATACTCGTATTGATATTTCTATCACTTAAAATATAGTATTAGTTTTATAGTATCTTAACATAGTAATTCAAAGTTTTTTATACAATCATTATTTAATTTTAAATTCAAATCAATGCTTAATAATAATGAGTTAAATTTTACTTAACCAAATACTAATATTAACATACTTATTGTGTAATCAAATAGAAGCTAAATAGTATTTCTTACTAAATCATTATTACGAATGGTGTCTCTTTACTTGCCATATTTTTTATTGTATGTATGAACGAATGAAAAGTAAAATTATTAAACAGAATAATTATACTTAAGACCTATATTAAAACTTTGGACCCAATTTTTTTTTGTTATGATTCATTGACAAATTTGATAAATTTTAAGTTGATCATATTCAATTTTTTATTTTAATAAAAATTATTAAGATTACTTTTGGAAAGGTTGGGTTGGATTACTTCCAAAGTAATTACTTAGTGTACATACATTTTTTTTGTTGGGCAGAGGTAATAAAAATTTTTCTTATGCAGATGTTCTCATAACCCCTAAAATATGTAACTAATTAAGTCGGTCGATAGATTTCTTATTTACAATGCATATAGCTGCCGTCGTGTAATTGTGTGATTAAGTGATCATTTTTCAAATTGCAATGTTAATTCGGTGTAGAAATGACAAATAATTTTATTTGAAAAATCCGCAAAGTAAATCTTTATTGTTTATCTTATCTGTGGTATAACCCTCTGTCCCGCCGATCAAGTCGTGGCTAGGTCATTTTATCTTAGTTGCTGGTATCATCAGTCTGTAGTGATAATGTAAAAATAGTATTATCATATTCTGTGTATACAAATTACTATTTTACAATAAAATAATTTTAAATAATAATTTTTAACACTTTTATAGATCTCTATTTTATTTTTAGTGATAATTTTTAATAAAGTTGGATAATTAAATTTAAAAGGTCCAAAATTGTATGTATTCTGTTTATTTTTAAAAATGAGCCAAGTACAGTGGCCATGGCAGTATAATTTTCCTCCATTTTTTACGTAAGTTTTTTGTTTTAATAAATATCAGATTTATCTGGAGAAGTGGTGTATTTGACCAATGAATCAACTCATGTATTTGATTAAAATCAATTTGACCTTTATGTGGATATTCTTGTCAATTTATTATGATTAATTTGACAAAAACAACTGTTTTTCCTGTATACTCCTTAAATAGTACTTTACAATTGAGAAAATGCTGAAGATTTAAAATGGTTTAAATTTCCTGAAAAATTTTTTAATTAATTGAGTGTAGGAAAGATTTATACACTAAAAGTTCAATTTAACATAGCAATTAGTTAACAATTATTTGAGGATAAATTTTGAAGTATATTAAGTTATGATATATAAGTAAAAAATTCAATATCTAAGGATATTGTTCTTAATATTCTTAGGAATTAATTGTTAATATCTTTTTTTTTGTTATTGTATGCTGATAACAATGTACCAATTAAATTAGTGTTTTTACAGTATTTAGTAGTTACATTTTTCTAGTAAATTATTCATAAAGTAGTTACACAGTCTAAAATAATTTAGTTATGCACAATAAGCTTAGTAAAATCTCATTATTTAATTGTTGTTCTCTTATTATTTATTTAATAAGTAATATTAGTTAAGTTAATTTTTAGCAACACATTAAGCTTAAATGTTATGTTGTTAAAATGATTTAAGTACTTTTTTTAGTACTAAAAATAAAAATTTTTCTTCTTAAAATAGTTTAAAATAAATAATAGTAAAAAATACTTTTTTAGTTAACTATACATATTTGACTTGTCTTTTTGAGTATGAAGTTCTATTTGACTTTAAATTCTGTAAAATTAATAGTAATCATTTTTATGTAGAATACAACCAAATGTTGAAACCAGAAAAAAACAGTTAGAAGCTTGGAGAACATTGTTATTAAACTACTGTAGTACACAAAAAATTTGTTCTATTGATATAAGAGAAGGTGATCGTTTACCAGTATTTAACAACTCTGCGATATCCAGTAAATATATATCTATTTTTTGTGTTTTTCTATTGTTTTTCAATATAGGCATATGTGATTTGGAATGGGTGTGGGGGCAGAGCCTTTCATGTGTCAATTTGATATAAATATTTTAAGCCCTTTCTAAGAAAGTGTTCATCTCATTCTGCAAACCAGAAATATCTTAAGTTTTAAGTGTACTATGGATTTCAATATAGAATCTTCTAGAGTTGATGTTTTTAGGCCTTATTCTATTAAAATTCATTGTTTTTTGTAAGATTCCTTCAGAATTTTGTTATGTAATTCCAAATATTTTCAAAGTTTGAACTTCAAACATTTAATATTTGGTAGTCATTATTAAAGCTTTATATTAATTTTGGGTATGCTTATTGTTTCAAACCTTTTATTTTAATCTAACTTAAATTTATATAAATTTACAAATAAAACCATAAAGAGAAATTGACCTACAAATTAAATTACCTAAATACTTTTTTCATTATTGTTATTTATCGGTACTGTATAAAATTCTTATTAAAGATTTTTTAAAGTTAATTTTATTCTTTTGAGGAAAATTGTCACCTGAAGCTATTACAACAGTGTTAGAATTTTTACAAAAGACTGGGAATGCTGATCCATTGGACAAATCAAAAACTAGGTAAATATTTGATAATACAGGGTTCTGCAGAAAAACTCCTTGATTTTAGTCTCTAAGGTACACCGCATGAAAACACTCGAACTGTCTTACATTTTTTTGATCGGAGAATTTTGCAAAGAGATTTGAAAACACAAGATAGTGATCGCATAAGAATTGAATGACTTTAAATGTAACAACCTGACAAGATTTTTAAAAAATTTGACCAAAAGACATTTTTATTGTTTTGGATGAGGCACACTTCCATTTGCCAGGTGCTGTTAATAAACGAAATTTTCGATATTGGTCTGACAATAATCCACAGGAGCTTCGTCAACAACCACTTCATAGCCCATAAATGACAGTGTGGTGTGCTGCAAATAAGTTTAGTATGCTGGGTTCATTATTATGGAGAGGATAATGTTACAGTTACCGTGAAGAAAACGCTACTGTGAAATGTTAGAGAACTATCTCTTAAATTGATCTATCTATGTAGCTAACACAATACGGATAATATCTGGTTCCAGCAAGATGATGCAAAAGCACACATGTCTCGTCGATCGCTTGGAGTTCTTAGGGACATGTTGTTTCATTGCGTGGTGATATCTGATGTCTGCTGAGTTCGTCAGATTTAACTCTGCAATTTTTTCTTCTTGGGAAAAACACTTTGGAAGCTCTAAAGAATAATCTTATAAGTCATAGTTATTCAATCAGAAATTATGATCTATAATAAGTCATGGAAAACTGTCAAGAGCACCTAAACCAATGTATCGCCAACAGAGGTCATCACCTAAGTGATATTTTATTTAAAACTAAATGAATTAAAAATGCACCATGTATGAATATTAGTAATATGTTCTATTTTCATCTGTCAGATTTCATTTAGTTTTTATTAGTAATCATAATAATCAGGGAGATCTTTCTGTCGAACCCTGTATTATCAATGATTTATAATAGATCAAAATTGTTCTGTTTTAACATTTTCTGTGGAATAGAAATAAAAAATATTTATAGTTTTGTCAGTAGTATGTATTATTTATGTATACAGGATGATTTATTTATCACAAACCACTTAATTTGTTGAAAAATAGATATAATATTGATATATATATCTTTCTTTTTGGTTTATTTTGGATAAATGTTTTTCTTTATTTATTAATCATAAAATATTTTTATATTCATTTATTTAACTACAAGAGTGGATTCAAAATAGTTTTTTCAACTTAACTTTTGAAAATGTTATGGTAATACTCTGAGCTTCAAACATGTTAAAAAAAAAATTTGTTCTGAGGACTTATCCTCTGTATGTCAACGGTCATAACTTTTTGTATTAATATCAAACTAAATCATTTAAATAAAAATTATAGTGATAATTTCTATGAAACTATTGGTGTCTAAATAGATGTTACCCTTGAAAATTCAGAACTATATTTCATATAGTTATATCCTATGGTATTTTATAATATAGTTTCACCTATGATTTTATCCACTGATGTGTTGTTAAATTTCGCTTCAACCTAGATTTTTTCAGTTATTATTTTTTTTTATATTTAAATGTTCGTTTTTTTATTAAATAGTAATAATCTCAAAAATTGGAGGACATAGAAAAAATCTAATTACAGATTTAAATCAGCGCAAAAATTAGTTTAGAATATTATATTTTTGCTATTGATGAAAATTCCTCTTGGGCTCGTTTAGATCCAATTGTTTTAAATTATTTTCTGAAAAGTTTGCATCAAACACTTCAATTTTTATAGATGTTTGCCATAAAAGTAATGAAATATACAACTATTTTATAATTTCTCTATAAAATTCATAACATTAAATTATTGAATATAAATTTCATACTAAGATTAATTACTATAATTAAAACTATAAATTACTATGTGTTTATTCATAATATGAATATATACTTGATTTAAATATATTATATAAAATTTATAATTTAAAAATAAAATTATATTTTTTTCTTAATTTTCTTTAAGTTGGAAAAATTCAAAATCATTTGTTTTTACCTCATTTTGATTGAATAACTTCAATAAATATTAAGGACTGTGTCACTGTAGTTTCTAGTTTTTTTATTGGAATTTTTTATTCATATTAAAATTATTTTAATATGTTTTTTTTTGTGTCTGTTATTCACTTTACTCAGCTCTCAATTAAATTTGCATAGCCAACATTCTTTATATAGACAATTAAAATCATTAATTTATAATATTTTTAAAGTATATATTGTCAAGTTAAGTTTGATATGATAATGAGTTTTAACTGCAAAGTTAAATAATTTTACTTTGTTATATATTAATTTCTTAACTTTATTTGTATGTTCTACTACCAGTTTAATATATATGTTGCCATTAAAAAAAAATAAAGTTGAAATTCTTAAAAAATATAAAGAATGGACCTAAATATTATTTTATAACAGATAAATAGAAATACATATGTAACTAACAAAAACCACAAAAAAAAAAAATGTTTAAAAACTTATTATTTTAAAAGAAATTGTTTGGCGAGTGTTAAAAGACTCTGTATATATATATATATATAAAGAGGTGTCACAAATTTAACTACCAACACTTATAACTTTTGATACAATTATTATTTTGTGAAATATTTTAAAAATAATTATTGTTTTATTAGACTATGTTTAAAGTATAAATACTTATTATTCATCACTACTAATAAAAAAGTAGACATTTCATAGTAACCCTTTTCTTATAAAACATTTTAATGGGTAAACATTTATCCTAGTGCAAATACTAATCGAGTTATAAGAATTTTAATAAAGTGGAAATGGCACAATTTTTTTTATTATTGATAAATAATATAAAATATTCTTTAAAAGTTGTCTAAGAAAGCATTAATTATTATGAAAAAAAAAAATCAACAAAATGATAATTGTATTAAAAATTATAAAAATTGTTAGCAAGGACAGACTGAAGAATAATCAGCTTACTGTGATAGAGAAAAATTTACCTTGCATTACTATGATGTTTACCAGTTCAAGAAATTATTTTTTTAGAAATGCTCACGAATTTAATTATTTAAGACAAATTTATTCATTGTAAGCGTTCATGGGAAATTTCATTGGGAAATCAATCCATACCCAAATGAACTCGATGTTATAAATTTCTAAATTTTTTGTAGTTTTAATAATGTAAATCTTCTGTTTAATTAACTTAAATTATTCTATCCCCTCTTAATATTTTACTTATCAATTATCCTTCTATAGACTCATTATAAATATATTTGTGTAACTATTTGTTGTACAATATGAAAAAGAGTACATTTTTTTAAAATCAATAAAATATTAAAATAACTAGAAAAGAAAAATGAAATTGTTATTAATTGTGGCCGCAATATGTTAGTACTTGGCCAGATAGCCAAACATTTTTTCGTCATTGTTAGTGATCATTAGCGAGCTGTGCTGTAGTACAGTAGTATAGGAAGTCAGTCCATTCTTGGTTGATAGTTAGGTCTGAGACACTATATAAATATGTACATTAAATTGTTAACTATTATAATAACAATATTTTTTCTAGTTTTATTAAAGGATTGCATTGCATAATATGTAGACTGAATCTTTATTTTTATAGGTGGCATATTTATTGGCACACTCTGGATGAATGGGCTTCAATTATCTATAAATGGGCTCAAGATAATGGTATGATTAATACAGTCTGCACCTTTTATGAAATTTCGAGTGATACTGGTGGTGGTAAGTTATTAAAAAATGATTGTGTTATATCGGTTAAGTTATAGTTAAATAAATTTAATAAATAAGTTATATTTGCTAATATTAATTGAAACCAATATTTTTTTTAGAACTTAATGGACTTGATGATGATGTGCTTATGAAAATTTTAAAAATATTAGAAAGGCGACAACAAGCTGAAATATTAACATTGGAAGGTGGATCTGGTGTTAAATTTTTTTAATTACGATCCCTATTTGACCTATCGAGTATTAAATATTTAGCTATTAAAAATTAATATTGAATAATAATCAACATAAAAATATTTTTTTAATATTTGTTGTAACAATAATAAAATGATAAATAACACAATATTAACAAACCAATTATCTAATTTATTAAGTTTACAAAAAGTGAATTTTTCTATTAACCAAATTATTATCAAAAAAAAAAAAATCACAGTTAAATAATAAAAACTTATTATCTAACAAGGTTTTACAATCATAAAAATAATCTCATTTTATGAAATATATTTTTTCAGAATAGTTAATGAATTAAATACTACTTATTTTTAAGGAAGTATTTTAGCCATTTAAAAATTTACAATAGAACTGGAAAAAAGTAATGGGTTTATTAAAATTAGTATGAACAATAGAACTATCCACTATTAACACCTCACTGGTTCTTTTTTATACACCACAATATATGATAACATACAAGATATAATAATAAATTTTAATAAATCCAATTGTAAGTAAAACACATTTTGTTCTCTTGAGATAATTTAGGAAATAAAGCTTAGACATTTTTTGTAAATATATAACAGGACTACTTTTTATAATAAATATGAATAGCTGTTAAATTGGCTACACAACAATACAACTATGCAAACTATTCACATGTTTATAATTCGATAAAATAAATATTATTTTTTTTATAAATAATCCAAAAATTAATAAAAGATATTATATAATATTCACTGATCAATAATAAATAAAATTACGATTTGACACAGATCGAAGGATTTCTAGTTTGAGCAAAACAATAATAAATTATACAACAAGATAACCGCTTTGACACATCATACCTCTGTCATTAAGGCAAACCGTATATAGTAGCTTAAATAAAATGTTACTAGACATTTTTACACTAACATAATAATATAAATTAATAAAAGTAAATAATAGGAACTGTAACGTTTAAAAAAAAATAGCTCAAGAATAAAGTAATCTTTATATCTTTGATTAAAAAAAAAATTCAGAAATATCTCCACTGCTTAATTTTGACAGAAAATAATTTAAAATTCAGAATTTTTTGAAATGATTGAACACTTTTATTACGTTCTAGACGAAAGATTTTGGTAACTTCTTAGATATTTGTTATTAATTGGACGTAATTGTTTAATGTAATTTATCATTGACTAGTGTAATAGTTATATTTAAAAAACTATAACGGTCTACTTCAGACATAATCATTAGTTCCAGGTCTCGTCAATGGCTCTTGGGCCTAGAAAAAATAAAAAAATAAAAATGAATAATTTTTACTTTAAAAATACTTTTACATTTAAAATTTTAATATTATTAAAATAGAAATGCATTATGTTTAATCTTATACATACCAAATTATTATTAAAAAACTAAAGCAGCGTGTAAAATACATGTACAATTTAAGAGTAAAATAGGTCATATATTTTAGTTTTTAATTTTAAATTATAACATTATAGTTTACCTCTTCGCCAATTGATGTCGGATAAATCCTAGCTGGTTGATATTGACTTTTTTCTAATGTAAATTGATCTTCCGTAGTTTTTCTGTAGATTGGATTATCGAAGTTCATGCTAGTAACATTACGGTGGAGGTAATGTCTGTATAGCAAGAAAGCTCCCTATAGAAATTAAATAGTGTATAGAAATTATCTATCTTGTACGTAAATATTTAGAAAATTGATTTATACAATTGAGTTAAAAGCTAACTTACCAAAGCTGCCAGAGTTATCAATAATGTTCCCGAAAATATAATGACTGCTGCTATGAGCCCATTATCTTCTTGTTCTTTATGATTGACAACATTTGTTGGTATCATGGTCCTGTTCATATCTATAACAATTTACAAACGAAATATTAAACATAAGATTTTAATTGAATATCATTGCACAAATATAGCAGAAAAGATTGAATGGCCAACACTGAAATTAAAATACATATAAAGTGAGCGCGCAAGTATATGTTAGGCAAGCTGCACACTATTATTCTAGACATTCATTTTTAATTACACACGACTTAGTATAAATATTGTTATAATAAAGTTAAGAGCATTACAGAATAATTCAATTTTTAGAATAATACACTAACTACTATTTTTGAATACATGATTATTTCAAGTTAAAATTGGTGTATACTTACAATTTATAGATACACAATATATCGATACAAAAATACAAACAGTACTAAAACGTAATAAATAGTGTCTTCTAGAAATTACAATGTAAAAAGAACCAATGACGTCCAAGCCAAGGGCGTCCTAGTATGAATACAGGTAATTCTTCCCACGGTGAATATCGAGGTCGTCTCGATAGTCTAAGTTCCTAATATTTTAAATATTTATTGCGCACTCAATTTTTATCATTGAATTTTAGAATAAGAAAGGTAACGACAATGGCTGATACCGGGTAAGTTTGTTCTTTTAACGAATTTTCGACATACAAGAGTTAGACAGCCACAGAATCGGTAAAAATCCAACATTATTTAAAATTTAAAAAAATCACTAAATGATCTCAAAAACGAGATACTAATTAAATAAAAATAATAATTCTAGTCTAAATTTCAATATTATCTTTTTTATAATTTAATGAGCAATGCAAAAAATCTAAACTTTTACTGTCAATGAGCAAAGTTTAAACCAATTGTCAATTTATTTAAATTTCCTTTTTTATTTTTAATTTGAAATTAATTTGTTATGTACATGTAATGTTTAGAAATATTAAAATTACCACCACCAATCGTCAAAATTGTTTTGATATATACTCGTACCAACCACCATTAAGCATTAAATAAAATTGAAAGTAGTACAGAAGAAAGAAGAAAAGTTGTGCGATTCTGTCAAGTGCGATTGGCGATCATATTTTATGTGCATGTATTTTTATAGTACTCACGTATCAGTGTCATTGAACCGGTTTTTTTATAATTGGGTTTCATTGAAACCACTGTATTCTTGACTGTAAATTTAATCGACCAAAAAAACAAACAAACAATAAAAAAAAAATCATTTTAAGCGGATAAAAAAATGTAATAAAAAAAAATCTATTATGGTCAACTACAAAAAGTATAGAAAAAAACTGATTAAAACTAAAAATGATTAGTGTAATGTCAGGAAGAACTTTACCTTCTTCAGCACACATTAAACCATCAGCCATTAGCATAAGACCATTTGGACAAGCGCAAGTTATTTTGGGTGACTTATCGCTGATTTGAGGAGCTGGAAGACACAAATGAGAACAGTGGCCGTTTACAGCGGCACAATGATTTATGCCATCAGGTTGTCTGTAGGGATGATATACGTGTACTACCATAGGATTTTGTGCCTGGATAATACAAGTAGACTAAGTAATTGTATTGTTTATTTATTAAAAAACTAAGACCGTACCATATGCAGTGACGTAACAGTAGTTACATTGGAACCGTTAAATTTGTTTGCTCTGATAATAGCCTTCTTATTCCAGTCGGACCAATACAACGAATCTTCGAATGTTGATATAGAAAAAGGATGAGGTAACCAAGTTGGACTGAATAACACTAAACGGCGTTGGCTACCGTCAAAATTACAGGACGAGATTGAGTGCAGCTTTGCATCTACCCAATACAACCGCTCAGAAACGAGATCCAAAGTAAGACCATTAGGCCATTTAACATCAAATGATGCAATGACTTGCCGATGAGTACCATCCATGCCAGCTCGTTCGATTTTCGCTTCACTTCCCCAATCAGTCCAATATAACCATCTATCGATTTTAGAAGAGTTTCATTAATACTTATGTAAAAACAAATTAGTTTAAATATTTACCAGAGATCAGTTGAGGCCATAAAAATACGGTCCGATCCGAACATTTTATTTAGAAGCCCAAAATATATATGTTAAAAATTAAACCCGATTCGGTCAGGTCCAAAAAAATTTATCAAACCCTATCTGATCTGAAATTTACCTCATTCAGACCCGATTCAGATTTATGTGTAAAATTTTAGGTTTGACCCGGTCTGGTGTAAGTGAAATAAAAATGAATCAAGTCCAATCCGATCCGATTTATTTGAAAAAAATACTACAACTGCAATTAAAAGGTTTAAATTCTTTAATCCCATTCGTTAAATTTTAGTTTCTAAGAAAATAATTATTAATTTAATTTTTTATCGTTTTTATAACTTGTACGAACATACATTATCTAATATCAATGTTTGATCTGGCCCAATGCGACTCAGCTTAATTCATTTTAAATTAAGGTCCAACTCTACCAGGTTTAAAACATTAAATTAATATTAAGGATTGACCTAGTTCGGTTCAAAACATGAAATCAATATTACGGTCCGATACGACTTTTAGATCAAGCTGAATTCCCTTGCCCGGACTGATCTCTAATATTTACCCTCTAAGTGGATCTACGGCAATCGATCTAGGTTCCTTGAGTTCAGATTTAAACAAAGTCTTTTGCATGTTTCCCTCAAAGTTAGCTAATTCGATAGAGTCTTTTTCGGCATTTGTCCAGTATATATGACCATATATCCAGTCCACGGCTAAACCATCAGCTGATGATAAACCACTTTCAACTACAATGGATCGCTCTCTTCCTTCATCAATAGGTGCTCTAGAAAATAATACAAATTTTATCATCATTTATTTTAAGCTTAAAAGTACAAGAGTGTTTCTTTTTCGTCAAATAAAGCTGTTTTATTTCAGTGTTTCCACAGAAATTAAGCGAATATGTTATTAAGGGAATACATTTTTTTTTTTTTGGAAATTATATGAAAACTAAATCATCTTTCATTTTTGGTCATTTTACTTTTACTATCATACTTTAAATTTTAACCAGTTAAAAGTGATATTCAGTCACTGTGAAATTATAAATAAATTACAACTAACTTTTGTGCAATACTTGTATGATGTTAATAGTTTACGTTGTTTCTTTTTTAATTTATTGAAAATTAAATTTCGAGGGCTATTATAATTTATAGAAAGCTATGGTATTTATGAATAAAATTTTTAAAAAAGCTGGGAACTCCAAAGATGTAAAAACTATAATTTCATTAAATAGAACTTACTTGTAGATTTTTTTCTCGGATACATCTCCCCAGAATATCATACCGGTTCGAAATACAAAATCAATAGCGGTCGCTGATTTGGTACTGTTAATAATGGCAGACATTTCACGATGGTCAAGTGATATCTTTCGGATGTTGTGTTGCATTGAGAATAATAGAGAAGCGTGGCCTTCCATTGCTTTGCACCGTGTGTGATCTTGTGGATCTCGAAGATATCCCTGGTGGCATTCGCACTTATATGTTCCTTTCTCATTGATACAAATCTGGGAACAGCTACCCTGAATTTCACATTCATTTACATCTGTAAAATATTTTAAAACGAAATAATCAATTTTAGCAGTATTGATGTAATTTTGATACGTTATAGTATTACCTTGCACATAAATGCAGTTAGGTAATTTGAAATTTGCAAGTATATAATACAATTAAAAAATAGCATAGTATTACCTTCACATGTGTTGTTATTAGTAAGCTTAAATCCAGGTTTGCAATCACATCTAAACGTGTGTGGTAGATCAATACAAGTCTGAGAACAGCCACCATTATTAATCAGACACTCGTTGACATTACAATTGTCTTGCTGTTCATCTTCAAAACCAGGACAATCTGGTTTTTTGTCGCATACTTTGTTTATTGATATGCAAACGCCTCCTCCGCATTCAAATTCGTTGTAAGGATCACATTTATGCACTGGTTCTTCTATATTAAAATATTAAAAATTACAAATTACTAAAAGCGTTGTTTAAATTTTGGCGAAGTTCGTGTGAGCGATCGGACATTATTATGAAAACAAAGGTTAAAATAATTGCGTAATTAATTCATTTAAAAACTATAAGTAGTAGAAACCATACATTTATATTTTAAAAGATTAAAATAAAATAAAATTAGTTTGACTTGTTGTACGGCGAAATAAATAGGCAAATTTACTACATAAGTAAATTTTATATAGTTTAAAATGAGTACGTGCTGTAGTACATGGATATTACGTTAAAAACACTAACTTTTGGTGCATTGTATAAGGTATTCAGACATAACAATCAAAAGTAACACAAAAATAATTGCACCATATGTGACTTAAAAACAAAAATCTTATAAATAATCTACTTTATAAATAGCCAGTGTAGTTAAAAAAATTTTAATTTAATGTAATCATTAGTTAAAAAAGATTATTTTTGACTAATGGAGTTCACCAAAGATACATAGTTAAATTAAGTCTTTGGCTCATTTTCTAAGTGGCTACTTACTGCAATTTTCTTCATCGCTACCGTCCGCACATTCTGCCGTACCAGAACAGTATAGAAATCCAGGAATACACGTGTTGTCTCTACATCGGAACTGATCCGATCGACAAGTGGTGTTATGACATCGTTGAGGAGATTCGTCAGAACCATCTGCGCAATCCACACTGCCATCACACACCCAAGATTGCATGATACAATGGCTACGATCTTCGCACTCGAACTCGGCAGCTCTACACTCGGACACCCTAGTTGTACCCTCACATCCCTGATAAATAAAAATGATCACAATGGTTTAAACAAATCTGTCATCAGGGGGAAGTTAACCTAATTTCCATATATTCTACAGAATTTTTATTTGGTTAATATATACCGAGGATTTACCATTTAATAGTGCTATGATATCCCAATAACTCCGTTAGATTTAAAAGAATCGGGTTTTAGGATTAAATAATTGTTATTTAATCATACTGTTATTATTCATTCTTAAAAAAAAGAAACTCTTGGAGATCTATTTATAAGACCTCGAGTAAAATAAAGATATATTAGGTGAATCTATTATCATAACTTTTGAAGAACTAAAGGATTTTCAATAACATGTTATTAAGTTGCTAAATAATTTTTAATTATTCTTTTTTGTTATCACTTACTAATTCATCCGTTTTATCAGTACAGTCAAAATCACCGTCACATCTCCAGTTCAAAGAGATGCATATATTATCTTTAACACAGGCAAATTCTGACTGGGAGCAAGTTATGTTAGGACAGTCACGCTCGTCAGATCCATCTTGACAGTCATCGTCACGATCACATTTCCAAATTTTTTGTATGCATTTGCCGTTGCTACATGTGAACTCATCATCTCTACAAGTTTCATCTAAAATACGTTCGAGTTATATAAAAAAAAAATTGAATATATAAAAATTAATATAAAAGCGTATTAGAAAACTGTCATTTATAAAAATGCAATAAAAAAGCAAAGTTCATATTAAAAAAATCATGCAGTTGTATAAATGATTGTATAAAAATGATTCAATTAAAGTCGAGCACTTGGTTGGTTTGATAGAAAGCAAAAAGGAACGATAATTTAAAAATAATAAAAGCTACCTCTAAAAGATAGATTATTTGTAGTGAATTTAGTTTTTAGGAACAACGTTTTAACAAATATTGAAACAACTATTATTAGATATTTATCTTAAACGTACTTTCTGAAAACTATACTTGTGTTAAAGAGGACGAGAAATGATAAACGATGATGTATATTTTTAATAAAATTTAAGAATGAAATATTTTTTTATCTATAGTTTAAATATAACTTAAATTAAATATGAGAATTATAAATTTCATAAAAATGTTCAATTAAGTTTTTAGTTTTTAAAAACATTTAATTTTTACTTTACATTAAATTGATTATGAAAAAATGGAGTAATAAAACTTAAAATAGGAAGAAAGCAAAAAAATTCGTCCGAGATGATAAAAATCACTATCAAATATAATGAAAGTGTTTATAAACTACAAATCCGTTCGCTTACTGCATTCCTTTTCATCCGAACCGTCCGAGCAGTCAGGGTTACCGTCGCACATCCAAGTCAAAGGTATGCATTCTCCTTTGGTTCCTCTGCAAGTGAACTCGTCTGCATTGCATACCCGTTTCTCTGTGGCAAATCAAAAGCCAACATGCTGTTGTTAGGTATAATTGTTCATGCATTTATAAATAATGTAATCGGGCAATTCTATCAATTATTTTTTACAAAAGATTGATTTATTACTATTTTTGTTACGATTAAGTTGAAATTTTCATATGCAGAATAGAGTACAATTATAATGATAAATAATGATAACTCAATGAGCAATGACAATATGGTGATCTCGTCAATTAATTTCATATATCTGGCATTCGCATTAGTTAAAATTTGTTAATTTACTATTACAACCTTAGCGTGACAGTTTTTTTTAAACCCCTAAACCATTGATAAGTTGAAAAACTTACTACAATGGTACTCTTCATCGGCACCATTAGGGCAATCTGGGTAGCCATCACACAAAACACTCCGAGACACGCATACTCCTTTTTGGCATTCAAACTGTCCCTCTTTACAGGTTCTATTGTTTGCTAAACCTATAGCCATGGACATTTTTTTGGGTGTTTTAGATTATATAAAATACTGAGTTTCGATTTACATTCTATGCTCACTTCATACTTCTCCTTTAAAATTATTTACACCAAAAAGTTTTGGTAATAAATTACTCAATAAATATTCCCTCAAAAGTTGTTGTTTATTTATGAAAGTTTCAAATTTCAGTGTTTGATTTAATTAATAATTGGAAAACAAATAATTAAATAAATATTAAACAATTCACAATTTTAGTAATTTCTAAAGATTAAAATTATTATTTAAACTTAAAAGTTTTTAATTGAGCGAAATTCTATAAAATTCTTTGGAAGATAATAAAAACTACATACCACGATTCGAAAAACAATATATTAAATTAATAATTAAATTCTTACTCATGAAAAACTTAAATTTTTCAAAAAATAAAAATTATTCGTTTTTAGAAACAATTATTTGTTGTCAGTGATTTATAATTATGTCAAATTAACTATTAATTTTTGGAGATACCCTAGGTTAAAAAAATATAGCAATATGGAACGTGTCAATTGACAAAATCGAGATTACATTAATTTGTATTATTTTTATAATTAAATTCATAATTTAGACTTGAGGATTTATGAGTAACAACTGAAACAGTATTCAGAAATGTTCAAATTCATACATTATTTTTAGGCTTTTTAATACACCACGTTTGTTATAATTATAGCGACCGATAATAAATATATAATGCAGTTTATAAATTAAAATATTAGTTTCTTATGACCTCGTTATCCATATCTACATATTTCAGACTTTTTAAACAATATTTATTTAAAATAACTTCTAGGATAATTATTTTTAATACTAGAGATCGCTCAAAAACGTTCGTATGTATATACTTGCTATTAATTTATACTCGTACTGTTATTCAATTATTTTAAATTTTACAACAATTATCCATGCAGTCTTTCAGTATAAACTTCAAACAAAAGGGATACAAGGATAATTATTTCTAGTCAAAAAGAGCAATATTATTGTTTTTAATCATTATAGTTATTGAATTTATTAAGAAATAGTAGAAAGATACTTACGGCATATACTTTCGCTCTCGTCACTGCCATCTTTGCAATCTTCTTCATTGTCACAAAGCCAGTGAACCGATATACAATGCCCATTTTTGCATTTAAATTCGTTTTCTGGACATGTATTGTTTATCAGAGCTGAAAATTTTATTTTATTAATATCTAATGAATTTTTATGGTTTACATTTATTATTTAAATGTATGTTATAAAACATTTAATGTTAAAGGTACTATCAATAACTGAAAATGTACTAATCAGATTTTCAAAATAATAAAATATATTAATCATGATTTTATCCAAAGTCTTCATTAAACAATCAGTAATAAATATTATTTCGACGGCTATTTAATAATTTCAAAAAAATAATTATAAAACGTACGTTGAAATTGTGTATAGTAGTAAAACATTGCAAAATAGTTAATTATAATTTAAATAACTTAGTAGACATAATTTTTAAACAATTTTTTTGTTTGGGTCATATAGAAACTGAATAACTTTTTAATTTTAATTTTAGTATCGTTTACCTACGTTGGGAACCGATTTCCCTAGAGCATTTTAAAGCGGTCGCAATCTATTGTACATGATCAAAAAATAAATAAATACAACAACCTTACGTGTACTCAGGATAATTATAATTTTTAGTTATTTGTCTGGAAAAGGAAGGATCACAAATGTGTTACCAAGAACAGAAAACAATAATGTTTATTATAGCAAATTTTTCTGTGTGAGATTTATATCAATGTACTTACATAAAGCATGAATTATTAAATTTACATTATTTATTTTTTAAATTCTGGGACACTTTTCAAAAGTTGATATCAAATTTTAGCAATTTTTTAATTTCAATAAAATTTTATACAAACTGACATTTTTCTAGTGTTAAGCCAGTTGTCTACCCAAAAAATAAGTAGACTATTTTTCGGTGGATAACAGATATTTACACATACCATCAATAATCTCAAAATTGTTTTTTTTTGTGATTTATCAGCTTTTGAACACAAGTCAGAGAATTAAATATGCATAAAATATTAATTTTAATTTCTTTAGTTTTTAAATTTTACGATGTAGATAACTTTTAAATGTTTTATACGTCAATTGTTTGTATACAATTATAATATTACATTGCATAATTAGTAATTAAATTTTCAATTACTTAACTGAATAAGAATTTAACTGTCTCAAAAGAAAAGTTCCATTTTATTTACTTGTTTCTAAAAATTAATATTGTTCGACACAATATAAGTGACGAGTAAAAAAATGTAAATGGATAAAAATATTTATATTTAAGCTACAAAAAATAACTAAACACCGTAAAACATCGCTCACCTATAATTAATATAAAATTTGACAATTTGAATGCAAAAATAATTATATGTGAAGAAAATGACTTTACTTAAAGAAAATGTACCGTTCCTAGGAAAAAATATTAAGGTTGTTAATAAAGTGAAATATATTAAAATTTAATTTTAGTAACTTAGCGTAGATGCTTTCGTGATTTAGCAATTAATCTATAAAGAAAATCGTTGAAACTGAACTCAGAATTAATCTTTTATCCAAACTGTGTCTGAAACTTTATACACATGAAATTCAGGCGAATGAACCGTGAAAGTAAATTGTAGTCCCTGGAGAAAAAGGTTTATGTTTGAAAGAAGAGTAATCCCTACCAACAGTGCATATCCTCTAACTGGTAACTGCCATTTTAAGGCGGTTTTAATATAAATAGTCAACTGGAAAATTTTAGATGTTTCCCTTAGGAACATTTGACAAGTGTTTATTATGGGGTAAACTTTCAAAGATTTAAAACTAAACAGCTGATCACCAAAATAATTATAATACACATGGGTATTATAAAATTTTGAAAGTTTGTCTTTATATAAAAAAATATGATAATCAATAATAGTACATGTTAAAAATGTTATATATTTAATATTATTATATTGAATTATACAACAAAATTAAAAAAGAACTAAAGAATAAATTTATCAATTGAAGACCTTCACTCTGTGAACAATATACTATTTTGAAAAAAAAATTGTCTTCATAATAAACAATAAATCACATAATAATTATAATATTGATATTCATATATTATAAATAGGAGTATGAAGTATTTTCTAAATGGATTAGAAAATAGTGCACATATAGCAATTCCAAAGGAATACATTTTACTCTTCCAATTTTTTTTTTTTTACACCATTTTTTACAGGATTTTCAATTAATGAAAATCATTACTGCGATCCTTAAAATCAAAAAATATTTTTTTAAGCGTACAGCAATACTTAATTAAGATAAAAATAGAATGTCGTAAATACCTAACTAAAAAGTAGTAATAATAGTATTACAAAGATGAAAATATAATTCACATGTTATTGTTATTGATTTAAAAAAAAAAAAAATTGATTAAATTTAGTAATAATTTGGTATATTAAAAAAAATTCTGTGATTTGAGGATATGTAAAATGTAAACCAAATGAAAAAAGGAAGGCAATAAAACAATAGACTATTTTATTTTTCAGAATATTGATGAATGACTAAAATACATCTACAAGTATAATTTAATTGTTTAACAATTAAAAAATATCTTTATCTTATATTTAAACTATAAGTAACAAACAAAACATTAATTTTTTTTAATGTATAACTATTGTAGCACAATATTTTTTATTTTGAATTGAAGTCTAATCTTAAGCTTTTGCCCACATTATCATGCATTAATAGATATTTGACAATACATCTATCTAAACAAACACTTTCTCCTTTGTTTAAATCTCCTGCTTTGTGTTCTGGTTTAATACATTTTTTTCTACAAGATTCAGTCATTCGACCATACATATCAGCCATCATGTCCATCTCCACTTGTTGTAAGTTGGTGAGATTTTGTGGAGGAATACTTGGAGTAGCCATAATTCAAATATTTAACAAATAATAATATCAGAACTTTCTTTCACTAGGTGTATATTCTCCAATATTAGAAAAGCGCATACGTTCTCTAGCTTTCATACTATCAAAACGTTTTGAATCAATATAACGCTTGGACAAATAAAATGAAAAAAGACCACCAGAAATTACTAATGACCTAAAAATAATAATGAAAAATAATCAACATAAATTTTAAATAACCAAGATCAAAACTGAAATCTTAGTAATACATTAATACTACTTTTACTTATCTTAACAAAGTTTAAGAAAATTATAAAAATTGGTTATAATAAAGTTGATTAAAATAATGTACTTTAGATTACAGTTAAAATTTTTTAAAACAGTTTTAGACAATTTGATTAACAAGGTCAAATTTTATAATTGTACTTACCAGCCAATGAAAACTTTTTGAAAATGATTCAATGTCATATCTTTTTAGTTAAACATCATCGTATATTTTTCGAATATTTTACATTTACAATATTTTATCAGACTAAAATAAAAAACTTAACATGTGCTCGCACCGAAAGACTATTCCACAGAGAGCGATAAGGTTATCTGCTTAGAAAACTGCTTAGGTGCCGACCGACTATCGATTAACGTTACAGTGTGGCCAGTAGACACAATATATTACTAATCTACAAAAGGACAAAATAAAAAAAATCGTAATAATTCAATTTATTTATAAATAATTTATTGAATCACTCTAATTTAGTTATTTTATAATCCTTTACTATGTTTTTGACTGATCATTACAAACAATCGAATAAATGTTAATGTAATTATAAATTATGCAAATAGATTAGAAAAACTTTGTTAAGAAATAGTATAATTTTTTAGACAACACTTATTAGGTAAGCGTGAGCGTTACAAATGTTTTAAAACCTTTATTATAATTGTTAAATTAATAATTGTAAAAACATTTTATTGACCATATATTTATAATTATTGTCACAATAAACTAAATAAACTGTTGGAATAATAATATATATGCTTACATAATAAATAGTATTATAATTTCATAATTAAGTTTTGATCTTTATAAAATAGATTTATAAAAATTAAACACACGTTCTTAACTCAGTAAAATTTATTTCACAGCAAATCTGTTAAATTAATTAAAATTATTTCGTTATAACAAGATGATTGACCAGAGGTTGATAAATAAAGTTTATTAAAATTGATAATTATTTTTCTTTGGATACTAAAATAATAAAAGTCAGTAATAAAATAAAACAACTTAAGAAAGTTACATCATAAAGCTTGCAAGTTTACATATCATAGCTTGAGATTTTAATAAGATGGCAAACATGATTAGGAGAACTTTCCTCTCTGTGATATTAAACAATAACAGAACTAACTAGAATACTTAGTTCCATGAACGTGGTATAATAATATGGAACGACGGGCGTAAATGTTTAGCTGTTGCCGTCAGATTTACGGATGATGAAAAGAGTTCAACCAGTAGGCGCGAAACTATTGCGGAAACGTTGACGGCGAATTAATTACAAAGGACAGTAGTAATTTAGATGTGTACAATATTTAAGTCAATTCTATAAGGAATTTGTAAGATTTTTAACCATCGAAACTAGTTTATTAGATAATAAGTAATTAAAAGACAATTAAACAATCATTATAAAAAATTGGAATATATATATATATATATATAATTTCTTATGCAGGTTTAACAGATCTAACTATTAAGTCTTATAACTTTTGATAACATTAATATTTCAGTAATTAATTATTATTTTTATAATTTAAGCATTACATTATTTATTATTACTACATTTTTTTATTATTTGTTTTTAATAAAAAAATTATAATTTTATTTTTTTTAAATTTTTAGTCATTTTTTAGCTCTTTTCTTACAAAAAAAATTGAATGAGTCGATAACAGATTTAGGGCAGTAACTAATACTTGTAATTCAGTAAGAACTTATCTGAAAATTGTTATCGACCAATTAAACTGTTTTGTAAGAAAATAGCTAAAAAATAACTATTTTAAAATTTAAAAAAAAATTTTTTCTTCAATCTTTTAAAAATCAATAAATATCTCAAAAATTAAATGTGTTTAAAGAAATCTGAAGCCAGATTAGAAATCAACGTCAAAATTTTTTTTGCCACATGCATGAGGAAAAAGTTGTCTTGCCCCACTATTTATTGAACTTCACTTCCTTGGTGTCTAGAAAGGGCCTGCTTATAAAATGTTTAGATTCCAATTACATTTCCAATCTTGTTCCCTTTGTGATACTAAATTCTCGGTCTATTCCTGTGATTACTGCCATTATATTTTTAATATCGAGCGCTGGTCGCACTATTTAACCACCTTATTGTATTTTATAATTTTTACTATACATACTTTACTCTTTGTTATCCTAATAATATTTAACATATTTTCATTTCTGCATTTCATAATGCTAATTAATACTATATTAACTAATTTATATGTAATTGTTAAGCAATAATATTTACATAATAAAAGCTAAAATAAAAAAATGTTTTTCAATATGTTTACACATATTAAAAAGTTAGTTTATTGTTTTTCCGTTATAAATAATTATTTCCAGTTAAAAAAAAAAATGTGTTAAGTTATTTTAAATGGCATTGTAGATTATATAAACATTATTTAACGCATAAAAATTTTCAATGTATTAAGTGTTGGTTTTTAATGAATAGTTAAATATAAATAACATATATATTATGAATAATTTATTTATAGCAAAAAGAATTAGTTAGCTCAAAAGAGAGTTCGTCCCGTATCGTTTTCCGGAAAAGATCAACATCTTAAGTAAAATCACTTGTAAACAGTTTGAAAGTTCTCATAACATTAGAAAAAGACATCATTGCAAAGTATTCGCATTTTATAGGCTTATCCACTATAAACTTTTTTATTATATTGCAACGCTTTTTTAGAATCATTCGATGTATTATGTAGGTATTCAAAAATATCCACTGATATTTTATTTTAAGTAAAATCTTACAAGATATCTTAAAAAAAAATCAATATTAAACTGTGTTTGTTTTAAATCTTTTCATAATACATTCTTATTTAAAGACAAGTAAAAGTTTTCTTAGATAAAATATAATGAAAACACTAAATATCAAAGAAAAATGTATAATTAATTTAATACATATGTAATATGAGCTTAAATACATATAAATTGAATTTATCATGTTATTTTAAATTTTAATCAAAATTGAGCACTAATTTAAAAACAAAATGATGTAGAATATCCTAAATTTTTTAATTATAAAAAGATAAAATATGATATACTTAGATCACTATACAAGTATTTCAGTTTTTGCATTTACTTGTTCGTTAAACTCTTAAGCAGCGTAACGTTCTTAAGTAAATATCCGTACGACGGTCGTTGTCCTCAACGTAAACTTGACATGAGTCTATTTTCCTTGAATAAATTGTGTAGAAGAAAAGCGGTTCCAAGGTTTACGAATAAAGCGAATTAAGTAAATGTGGGTGAAGAGTGTATAAAAACTATACACCCTTTAAGAGAGCTGCCCCGACTTTGCGATTTGTATTAGTTTGTAATGTGCATACATTAAGCAAACGCCAGAAAGTAAAATGGATACGCAGAATGTATTACAAGCAAACCCCATATATATATATATATGGAAATTTTCAGTGAGTTTTTTCAAAAATGTTCTTTTAACAATATGGAAAACCTCATACAAAAAATCTCGAAGTCTTATTTAGAAAATGCTTGTTTTGATTACTGCACATATTCAAGTTAACGAATGTTTAGCTGACGATAAGGCTTTTGTGATTTTCTATACTTAAAATGGAATACATACTAAGGTTTTTCAAATTTATCTTTTATATTGGCAGCCTCTAATACAAGGTAAGTACAGAATTTGCCAGCTTCCCTAGATATTTATCATAAGTGTATACTTTCCAAGATTATATCTAGAAGACGTATACGTTCATCGTACGAATGATGATCGCTGTATGGTCCCAGGGTAATTGACGAGTATACTAAGAAGAGTAGGAAAGGTTGAGAATAAGATATGAAGCATTCAGTTTACAGCTTCCCGGTCGACTATAGAAAGTCGAGTGACGAGGGATAATAGTGGATTGCCAAAGATGTTTTCCTTCATTTCCACAAAGTCCCTCGTGTCGCCTTTAAATCAATGAAAATTGACAGTTTCTTGCTATGTGTACCCAACACGATATATTTTATTATTATATAGGTATAAAATGTATTGAGCTTGTCAAATTTAACGAATATTGTACATAACAATGAAATGTATAGTATATACAAAACTGACAATATAGGATCAGTTCGGAAGGATCACTAGAGACTATGAAAAAGAAATATTTTGAATAAGGAGCCCCTTTACAATCAGTGTAGTATATATCTTAGGATAAATTCACGTAACGCATAAGGTCTTAAAGTACTGCCAAACAACGTTGACATGTCGTCTTATTTTTAAATGACTGAAGATGTGTGTGGAGTTCTCATAAATTATGAGCTTACCCGGTTGGAAAGAGACAGAACTGAACTAAGGACGCACTCCTTTTAAAGGGAAATAACAGAGGGAGAATACATAGAAGATTTTAAGGGAGAGAGAGAAAAAAAGAGACACGCAATGGTAAGCAGTCGCTATGGAAACGAACTGTGTGGCGACTTTTAACGCAACACTCGACTATAGTTACTGGTGAGCACAAAAATTCGTTTCATCGGTAAAAGATGTGAAAAAGGGCGAGAAAATTAAAGCGAATATTGTTCATTATTGATTCATCGTTGCGATTTTCATATCATTAATACGAGTTATTGACTCATTACAGTATCTCTCTCTTCATGTATTTGTAATTTGTAATGATGATCAAAAAATGTCTCAAAAGTACGAAAATATCATTATTTTACTGAAAAAATTTTGAAGCTTGATGGAAACAATTATACACAGAAATGGATCAGTAAATCTCTGTTGAACTGCAGGGAAAAAAGTCTTTAATATTAAACATTTTAGAATTACCTACCTAATATATTATTAAACTTTAAAAAAAATCAGAAGTTGGGTGAAAATTTAGTACATTTTTAATAATTTATAAGAAAAATTGTACATTTTTTTCAGAGGAATTCACTAGGGGCAGATACGTACTCAAAGATAAATTTCGTCGTTTTCTTAGAGGAGTTTAACGCGCTTATGCGAAATGTACTTAACCATACATCAATCACGATATGCCAAACCAGTATTGTGTATTCGATTTAGTTGTTTACTTGGCGATTACTCATACTTTATGATATATAAACTCCAAGTAAACATCCTGTATGTACTTGATCATTTAATGAGCACATAGATTAACGATATTTGAAAATTTCAATACTCTTTTAAACGTTCAATAAATAAATGTGACACAAATCGAATCTATGGTCATGTCATTTAAGTGAATAAATACATGGTATACAATGCGTATTATTTTAATTTCTAAGAGGTTTTCTTGATGTACAACAAATGTACTAAATGCGAAAGAAGGTAAATAATACTCGTTTCTTCATTAAGATGACCCGTGGAGAGGATGAGTTAATGGTTTCC